AGTACAAAAATCCTGAAGGCTAATTGGTGTGCGAAAAAAAACACTTTGACGCTACAGAAGATAATGGGGGGGGGGGCTTTCCGCCCCCGGCTGTGAGATCCTCCGAAATTGGTCCAGCCCTTTTTAGGGCGAAGTGTGTTCGGCATGGACGCATCTTCCAAGAGATCAGAACCGTGAAGGAAATTGAACTTCCAAGATGGGCCAGGAAAAGTGGCTCCGAGCTGAAAACACAGGCTAATTGTTAATTCTCTTCAACACTGCATACATCAACCACTTCACATCACGCCGACTGAAACACTCTGACACTGGCAGAACTTCATTATATCTTGCTGAACACTCGAGGCGACGCAGGTGTAATATTCACGATAATCTTAGTTCGAACGGTTGACCAATGACAGAAGAGAAACTTGTTTCAGCATTAAACTACCCCCCCCAAAAAGGCCCGTGCATTTTGTTTATTGAACTTAAGTCTTAATAAACATGAAAATACATCTCATGATTCTGAATCTCTTTTATTTCGGAAATCCTCATATTAAAACTGCATAATACTTGTGAAAAGAAATTAACTCTATCATCAAGGTAAGTGAAAATTTATCCCAGCTATGAAACATTCGGATCACAATTGCTGTTCTTGGGCAATTCTGGTTACATCCATACGTGATGCCTTACTGAGATCGGGTAGCGCCGAGTGAGAAGTTACAAAATGATAATGGACTAACAGCAGACAACACTTACGCGAACGGTCTCAAATGGTCTTTACAATTTCCAAATTACATGGGCAATGTTGTTGAATTTCAGCATCAGGAATCCCCGCCTCACTTGACATAAATTGAAGGAAAGAGCTGTCTGGCTATATGTGTAGAACAAATTATCTTTACGATGCAAACCTTTTACGATGTCCTGATGTTATCTGCTGTACGCACTTCTCTCTACAATGATTTCCCGCTGAAATTCTGCATTTCCCGCCTTTATTGCTTTCTGTCGGCTGTTACAGGTTCCTCTCTCTCCTCGTGTGTTACTGACTGTTCACTCTTCGAATCTAAGCAACTCCATCGGTTAGATCCCGTCTGTATTTGAATCTATACAAGTCATTTCCGCGTCCCAATGGCCATGCGCCAAACTCACCGCTACAGATTGTTAGCTATATGCAATTCACATGGCACCTGATGATTTCCCAGAACACTGAGGGGTTTCCCAGGGATAATGAGTAACGCCCCTTCCAATCCATTCGTTGATTTACTTTCAAGATCATCGTCACCGTCATGAGTGACAGTTGACCCCGTTAGTCCTGACCTTGAGGGAGTGTGAATGACTTGGTGTAGTTCCTTGGCTCTTAATGCAAGGTGGGCTCGGGATGGTACCATTTCCTGGATGTCGTTCTCATGCATTGATCCTTTTGAACTTCGGAAGGAACGTCAGTGTGTTATAACGAGATGAAATTGAAAGTGACGTAATGAGGAAACTATGCGTGGCGGGCCTACACTACACGTGTACCTCTTATTTGGGTTCAGTTTCAAAGATTTGGAAGCAATGTTACAACATGCGCTTTTATCGCCGAACGAACCCCGGTGTATCTTGCGAATTTGAACCTAGTTCCTTATTTTCTCAACTGGTAATGATGCTGCACGATGGTAAACAGGCCTGGGGACGTTGCTTAATTTAAGTGAACCTCCAGTTTCCCGCCTTGTGTGCCTTTACAAATTCCTAAAACCGAAATTGTATTAATGTGTATTGCCAGTTTGGTGATCAGCCATTTACCCCCTCGATCACGCCCTCACATGGTTTGTGACACGTTAACTTACCCAGACATGACATATAACATTACCAAAGAAGTAAGTTTGTGCCCTAACAAATTAGTCTGGCACCCGAAATTCTGCAGTCTGTTCTTACACTAATATCCCCAAGTGCCTTGTGCACTACGGTACAGTCGTCTTTCAAGTTTTTGTAGAATTTCCCGCCAATGCGAACACAGATCAAGGAAATTTTACGATAACATTGGAGCTATTATGGTCTCCAGCAAGCAAGTTAGTTATTTTCTTGCCTGGTAAGGCTTATCGACGTTACAATATTTTGTATCTGTATTACCGATTCCTCTACTGAGACCTGAAACAACTGTGAATCTTTATTTCAATGATTGTTGAAGGAGAGTCATTTCGTAAGCCAGAAGCTTTCGATGCCATAGCGAAGGCAGGAAAAGATTTGTGAAATGCATGCGCATACATCATTTTTTTTACCACAAATTAATCAGGACCGTGGATAAAGTTTTAAAAGTGGCGGGCCAATGACCTGACGTTTTGATCGTTTTAAAGGTTTAAATGTTGTGCAGTGCTCGTACTTTTACTCTTGGAAATAAACTCGAGCGCTACACGCTGTAAAGCAACTCGAGTGCTACACGCTGTAAAGCAACTCGAGTGCTACACGCTGTAAAGCAAATCGAGTGCTACACCCTGCAAACCAACTCGGGTGCTACACGCTGCAAACCAACTCGAGTGCTATACACGCTGTAAACCAACTCGAGTGCTACACGCTGTAAAGCAACTCGAGTGCTACACGCTGCAAACCAACTCGAGTGCTATACACGCTGTAAACCAACTCGAGTGCTACACGCTGTAAAGCAACTCGAGTGCTACACCCTGCAAGCCAACTCGAGTGCTATACACGCTGTAAACCAACTCGAGTGCTACACGCTGTAAAGCAACTCGAGTGCTACACGCTGCAAACCGACTCGAGTGCTACACCCTGCAAACCAACTCGAGTGCTACACGCTGCAAACCAACTCGAGTGCTACACCCTGCAAACCAACTCGAGTGCTATACACGCTGTAAACCAACTCGAGTGCTACACGCTGTAAACCCAAAAGCAAAATGACATGGGAACATAACAGGCATGAAAGTGCACCAGCCCAGATGAAATCAGGACACAGAAAAACTTTTTTTTAACAAAGAGTTAGTTTGCATACAGGAATCTCATGGATTCATAAAAGTCGGGATATCATGTGACTTTTTTGGTATTTGATATTGAGGAAGGATTTAGTAGGGAAATGACACATATTGGCAAAACCTTTTCACGCTACAGACAAGCGATGGCCTTTTTTTGGGGGGGGGGCACGGAACATTCCTTTTACTGCAAAACTACATAAAACACTTAAAGAGTTCAGTAATAGTGAAGATTACACTATGAGAGAACATTCCATGATCAGGGAACCACGGGACTATCATGATACCCGAAGGGCAATGACTGTCTTTGAGGAATGGGGTGGTTTAGATGCAATAACAGTTATTTGTTTGTCATTAGCTTTGTAGTCATCTTGAAAACATTTTTACCATCGGCCTAAATCCGCACAGACGAGGGGGAATGGGCAGTGTAGAGGGGGGGGGCGGTGGCCACACACTTGAAATTGCCTGCCTGTAAAAAATCACAAGGGGGGAGGGGTTACACAGATGGCGCTTTTCATGATGCACATTGTATGTATTTTGCGAACTTGCTCGCCTTAATTCAATCTATATCAAAATGGTGCATTTTTATGTTTTTGTTCCCTATATTTCCTTTATTTTGTCCGTTGAAAATTTCGAATTAACCTTAAAATGTGTATTTTTTGTTTCTAACCACCATGTGTGTGTGTAGCGGGGGCGGGGGTTAATGGGACATGTACCTAACCCCCCCCCTTCCTAGGGATTTACACTGTTGTTATGGAGGCATATGACATGAAGTTGTAATAATACAAGCATGCGCATAAATGGGCATAGAGGCAAAAGGCACAACTGTTCAATTGAAAATGCAACGGCATTTTCTCTCATGTTTTGCAAACGTCTTTCATCCTGAATCGTAAAGTTATTTACTGCATGCACTCGGAATTCGTACATTATAAATCCCTCATAGACCAGAAAATGACAGCTTTAAAGAGTTTAGTAGGTTGTCTGCTGACAAAAGTGAACAGAAAAACCTGGAGAATCCAAGGGAAAATGACCGTGAAGTTTGTATCTCTCCCTCCACGCCCATTTTGCGCATGCGTGCATAATTATGATTTGTTGGTGAAAAGATCCACAGCGGTGGTAGTTTCTCTCTATGCAGGTTATGACTATGCATGAATCCTCAGTGCAGAGATGAGCACCAATGATAATTTAATCAATTTATGGTAAATCAAAACTCACGAAACAAGGGCTTTCTTCCACGTGCGCTTCCATGTTACTGAACATAAGGCAATATACCCAGCCCTGTCGTTTAACTCGTTTTGTATGTTACTGAATAGATCGTAGAGAAATTCAACGCAAATCCAACGACGTTTCACCTGACATTCCCCATGACCTCCTCAAAAACTCAAATGACTAAAATATATTCAGTATCATTCAAAAAGAGGAAAACATTTTTTTAAAAGCTATGAATAATTATGCCATTCTGCTGTGAGATTCTGCATGAATGTAATACATTACACCGTACATTACATCGTCCCTATTATAGTGGCTTTTCTTTTCACTTTTCAATTTCCATGGCCAGGCAAGTCATCCTTTCAAACAACTCCCCATCCCACTTACCCCCATTTCTGGCCCAAATTTTCTCCACAGCTGGTATGGAACCGCTCCGTTCAAATGCTGTGGCCGTCATTGGCTCGATTCCTTGAAAAATGACCGGTGATAGTGATAGCGCATGGCTCAAACAATCGAACTTCTTCAGCAATTCCGCGTTGAAGAGTTCAGAACTCTGAGACGCAAATGTAGGCTCCTATCTTCTGTCTATAGTCTATGTATGCATAATTGTAATAACAATAATCGCTTTGTTTGTGTTATTAAAAAAATTGTGGAACTATGGGAATATATGTTGATTGATATTGAACGTGTTTTTAAGGGCTTTCTATGACTCGCACATGTGGATAGCATATAGTAATTGTTGAATAAAAATTAATTAAAATAGCAAGTCAGAACCCCAAAATTCCTCCTATTGGATCCGCCCCAATCCCCTACAGAATGGCAGTCAACAAAACTACCACAGTATTGCCTTGATTAGAGTAATTGATCTGCAAAGTAAGAATGACAATGTTTCAGTTGTTCACGTGCACTAAAACAAAGCATCATGACTCTCACGTTAATATGACCTTCACATCAGACTCGTTTCCGGCCAAAAATTAATGAGGATTCGGAGTAGAACATTGATTCCCTTAGTCGATTACTTACCTGAGGGTTCAAACCTACCTTTTATTTCATTTGAGTCACCATTCCAAGGGTCTCCTGATTCAGGTCAGTGCTTCTGCTGGTAACAGGGCAAGTCAAGCTACTCCCGTCCAGTTCTCACATCAACACGAAGATTAATTTATCCATTACATCTCTGTTCGCTTTGATTATACTACTTGGTATGCAGGTGTATGGCTGTTGCGGTGGTCACACACGACTGATCGCGTGGAGTGGGTAACGGTTACTGTTTTATACCGTCGTCCCAAAATGTGGAAATTCCCGTCCTGCCCCGGTCAATAGGCCTGTCGGAAATAACATTCGGAGAACTTGAACATTGCTCATCACGTGATGGGGAAAACCCACAATAGAACCTGACATGTCCTTGCAACTTGGGAGAACATCTACTTGCCACGTTCTCTGGATGGGTGCTGGATTTGTTTTAAAAATATGAGCAGGGCAATCATGTCAGCATGTGGGAAACTAGACTCGCCGTCCCATGAGCCTCTAGGATGCGTGCGTGATACGATTGTCGCTTGCTATTCACATTTTGGAGGAAGAGTTTGCCAAATCAAATTTTTAGACGCTGTTCTTGCCCGCGTATGGGACAATTATGCAATTATTTTCTTGTTGAAACCATTTGTAAGATACGACTATAAATCTTTTTCAATGGCCTCCAAAATGACTGATGTCTCAATGTCATGAATTGTTGGTGCACCTGCAAGGAAAAACTCTTGGTGCTCAGAGCTATCCCCATTGGCTCTTTTTCCCCTAAAGTTTGCCACTTTCATGACCTGTTGTTACTGTATATGCTTGGTTGGCAGTGCTATGCAGCGTATGCACAGCCATGCGCATTTTATTTTCAGGGATCACCAGAACACATAAAATAGAGACAGAGGTCGGTTTCCAATAATGGGAACAAGAAAAACAGGTTGTAGCTGAACAAAATCCCATTCAACTATACAACAGCCCACAGCCGAGACAGCTTGAGTTGATTGCAATCACTCTAATATATCTGCATTTTATTTCAGAGAATAATTATCATTTCCCCTTGCTTTGTTCGATTACTGAATTTTTCCAAATTCCCTTTGTTTTAAAGGTACAAATGCTACACATCTGTCAATCCATTTCAATATTTCTTTTCCAGTCGCATTGAGTTCGTAAATCTTCATAGAACCACGCCAGCAAGGAAGCTTCCGCATTGGGTTTCCCACTCAGACTAATTATAACTGCTTGCATCAATTTACAAAATGGAGAACACAAACATGCCTCCTTTGCTCAAAATCGTTGTAACACAAAATACCACCTGTTTTTAATTTGACAGTTAATTGGATGGCGTATCAGCTGGCTCGTTTCGTATCATATGCCGTGACTCACTGGAACGTTTTCTGGAAAAATACACGTTTACTCCCCCGCATGAACCTACCAGTCACAGTTTGCTGAGCCATACCGTGCTTGGGTGCAATGTGTCCCGTCTGTCAGATATCATCAGGTTGCACGGTCGCATATGGAAACTAAAAAGAACAGATGCAGGAAATCTACGTGAGGGTTTAGCACAGAGTATTTTAGACACGTGACACTGAGCAGAGTCTTTTGTACTGAAATACGATTAAGCTTCTTTAACGCATTTCTCAGTTTAGTAGTGATGGCCGAACGACGCCAAACATGGTATGACTTTCAGCAGGGGAAATCAGGACAGCGAATTCGAAATGTGACCCGACATTGTGATTTTTACTTTTGAGGGGATTTCATAGAAGTCCAACAGGAGTTGAATTCTGCATGGCTGTTTACCGGTATCTTGTAGTTAGAACTCTTTGTGACTTATTTTACGAAGTACACCATTTCATTACTGAGTAACCGGCTTAATTCCCCCCCCCCCGGTTTTTGGAAGAGGTAGTGGCGGAACCATTTGATTGAAAGAAACTTCATCCGTTGTAATAACCAAAACATCGTTTAATGAGAACTGAAGCTGCCGCGGAAAATAGATGCGATCCTAGAGTGTTAGGTTGCTGTTCTTTTATCTCTCCACAGATTTCAGACAGTTCAAAATCAGATTATGACGATGGCAGCCTGTACCCAACGCAAATCGAAAATATTAGATCAAGACATTGGAAGCAGTGAAAGTGTGAACATTAATAAATCTTTTGGAGCAAATACTGTAACTCTGTATTTTCAAAATGTGTAGTATTGGAAACTTCAGCACTAAATAGAAAACGGAGAGGGGCTGGACGCATGGAAACATCCCAAAGAACATTGAGGCTTCTTTGCACGAGATGAAAGCTTTCCAATTAATTGCACGATGGAAACATTTCACATAAACTGACGTACGATATGCTCTGGTAGAAATTTGTGCAAATAATAATGGTGTTTAATTAAGAACACCATTTTGAACAAAAAACGCCGCTTTTCCGCATTCCAAACGCTCCTTAGGTTACCAGAAACATTTCCAAATAATCAGTTTTTGTAGGCCTTAGGCATATGCGGCAAATATCTGCTAAGAAGATTCAAAACTTAACTAATACATAATGATTTCACTTTTTTACAGGAAATCACGCACGATAGCAAAGTATTCTTAAGTTTTATCTCCATGACGAACCCTGAGACACCCCCCCCCCATTTTGTGCATGACGCACAAATAATGGACCATTTCCGTTGGTTAGCTGTCAAAGGTTCGAATGGGTTAATAGTTTCTGACGACATTTAGTTGACAAAATGTTATTCAGCTTAACATCACGACGGAAGTGAAATTCTTACACACGTGAATGCAATCTCGTATACTTGGCGCGTAATCCCTCCAATAAGGTTTTACCATGCTACAATGCTGCACCTTATGCAATGGAAGTGAAACGAATAAATAGTACAGCCGCAGGACATGTCAAGAATGATAGCTGTGAATCAACGTCTTCCCCTCTTCAAAGAGAGGGAAAAAACAACTCTTCTGATAAGGCGTCTATCATGCAAGGATTTCTAATCTTCTTTGTCCACTGACAGATGACTCGGTTGAAAGTTTAAAAATGAATAAATAAAATCTTCCGGAAGCTACTGCGATTCAACGTTATGACGAATAAGGAAATGTCGCGGTGTGCGAAAAGGGATCATTCCAGCAAGATATCAACAAGTCTGTAGTTGGAAATGTCTCCTTAGTGACTCCTTTTCGCCAAAAAGACAGAGGAAGGATATGCAGAAGGTGATCAGACTAATTTACCGCGGGGGTGAAAGCAAAAACGTGCACGGTATCCTGTAACGATAGCCACTGTGCATATTACGCACTATCTGTCGTTGACAGCTTTTTCAAGTTTTCACTGCAACATTTCGTACCAATAATACGGTGCATCGTCCCTTAAATGTATATTGAAACCCATACCTAAACTAAAGCTATAAATCTAGCCTTTATATATCAACTCAGCAAGTTCATGGAGTTTTCAGTTCTCCCTGTCTTCTTCGAGTCCACACCAAAGTAATGGAGAAGTCACTAAACAAGAAATCCTGACTTACACTAGGCGTATGTTTGGAGTTTCTCAAACGTAAGAGGTGCATTACACAAATTTATGATAGTTGTTGAACTAGACTAAGTGAGAAATAACAGTTTAAGTCGATCGTTTCCAGTTACGCACTTAGTATGACCAGGCTGAAAAACGGCATATTTTTATAGCATAATTCGGCACATATCCTAATTCTGCCGTTATATGTTGATACCTGTTGCCAAAAATGGGTTGTACCGAGGCTTTTTGCTTGGAAAAGCAACTGCGATAAAAATTATCATGAGAGGACAATATATTGAAGATCAGTGAGAATGGCATATTAAGTTTAAATTATGATAGAAATTTTAAGGAAGGAGGAACCTTGTCTGGTGATCGGAACACGATCAGATTTTCTAGCTCGAAAACGATCATAGTGAATTTATGAACAGTTTTACGAAAAACAAATAGGACGGAGGAAGCCATCTCACAAATAATGCTATCGGAACTTAGACAGGAAGTAAAATCAACCGATTGGTTGAACAGTTTGCGATTAAAACACATGGAAACGTACTCTATAACAATGAATTTCCGACACTGAAACAGGAACTGTTTAAGGTTATGCACTGCACCTTGGTAGCTGTAAGGGCGCCATTTTATTTTGTTCACAGTGACTGAGTGTATTCATGGAACTGAGCCGCCGTAGGAGCATTGTTACAAGGCTAGCACAAAGCAAAATAGCAGTACAGTGATAGCGCTATAGGGCAATTAACAACCACAGCAGGAGTTTATACCGATTTTCCACAAAAAACACCGAACACCGACTTGAATTGGTAACTACTTACAACCTAAAGCACAGAGTGTTTTAAACTGCTGGTGATTCAAGTGTTGAAGGACTAATAATGTGAATAACATGTTTAAAAGCACCAAACAAAATTAGAATCTGGACAACATGGAATCCATTTTGGAAGGTGTGAATCCTCACAGAACAAAAATATCTGCATTTCATGTTTCAAAGAAAGTGGAGAAAAGGAATTAGGTCTGGTAGAAGAAATTACAGTTTCAAAACGAAAACAAAACAAAAACAATTGAACAAATTCTCTAACGCAAGTGCCAAACTAAATATCCAAGCCATGCTTGACAGTACTGCTCGCTTATTACCAGTCTCACTGTTTCTGTGACTGTGTATGAGTTATCTCTTGAAAAATTCGAAGAAGACTTTGCACTTGATAGATGTTCAATCATTTCATACAGACTACGAATACGTGCATCTCGGGAAAACTATTTTCCACTAATGCCAAAACAGAATCCTGTTCTGCGAATTTGCCAAATTTCCCGTTAAAACACCAATCCACAATCTTATATTGACATACCGATTTGAGTTGCATAAATTTCGGTTTTCTCCAACAATGTCGGGTAGCACAAGTGATTATTTGAAATTTATTACCTTCACGAAGCTAAACAGTTTCATAGCATGCTTTGAACCAAGTCAGGGTTAAATTTGAATAGTTAATAATTCTTTATAGTTATAAACCAGTTGCTGCCATGGAATAAAAAAAAACACGTTGGGGCGATAATGCCAAGCAGTTTTCGTTTATTGCTTTGATTTCCAGCAATGAAGTAAGAAAAATTTATCGAATGATTTCTTATTCACTAAGAGAACGGAGGTTAATCACGTGTACAAATAGCCAGCCCCAGACCACATAATCAGACTGATTTTATCGAAATTCATAACTTACCATTTTGCGGCTAAAGAAACACTTGTAATGCCCAGCATCACACAGCGTACACCACACAAAATTCTGATCAAAAGCCCACTCAAAAAATAAAAACCCAGATCAAATCAGACAAGCATGGATAGCCTTTCCAATACACTTAACAACGTTCACGTGTTGTATCGACTTTTTTTGTAGCCGGCATTGAGCCATATACGCAACGGCGGTGTATTGTCGTTTTTCGTCGAATTCTCCCAAGTGAGTTGAAGCAATTAGGATATATGATTTGTGAAAAAGTAGCGAGTTGGTATTCATCATCAGTTTCTGTCAGTGAACGTTGCAATGAGCCTCTTAATACGATGAATTTATCAATGTTCATGAGGAAACGTGATGAATTATTTATTTCCGTGACGAAATAGTATAATTTCGACGAACGACTGAGCGTACGTTGCAAGCCTGTTTTCATGAATTAATTCGCAGAATGATCAGACAAAAGATCTTAGAATTCAAACAGTAAAGGTAGTAATATCGAGCTAAATTGGGGCTGAAAATGCATTAATGGTAAAGAGGAAATTACTGATAATGTAATGGTTTATTTTTTGGATTAATTTCTAGTTATCCTATTTGAATATGAAGAGACAGGCCTAGGCACAAAGTATCAAATTTTTATTTTGCAATGGTTCTATGTACAACATCGTTATTTTGGGGTCGAGGGTGTAAGATTTTTGAACATGTACGGATACATACAAAAAATTTCAATTAAACCTTCTCCCGGAGAATTAATTCAATCAACGAAGTAAGTGAAGAACCATTTTTAAAATACGAAAACATGTAACTAAACGAGTTTGAAAGTAAACTATAGTAAGACAACGACAAACTAGTTATACAGTCAGCATCTCTCATATTAACTAAAATGCACTAATAAAGAAAACAATGATTTTCAGCATAACTACATGCATGAAGCGTCTAAACTGGACATCTTCCTTCTTTAATGCCAATAATTTATATCTGCTTCTACTCTGAAAGCAACTGTTGTTGAGGATTTTGTCTAGCAAAAACCGATGTATTCTCAAACTCAGCACAGCAGGACTGAATAATGAAACAAAACTCACGCTACATCAGTTTGAACTACAAAAAAGTTCAAAATGTAACTTACCTCCGTTCCCCGTGATCAAAACATTAACCAGGAGCTCCTTGTATCCACAAAGCCATGAACTGTAAAGAAGGAATTGTTTATCTCTAAAATGAGTCACATGAATACATTTTTAAAACAAATGTCACCATCCGACAAGAGTGGCTGTTATCGCACAGACCTGATACCACCACACTCAGAAACGCGGTACTGTGCAATGAGTATTAATTAATTTAATTAATCCACAACTGCATGACAAATTACAAAACAATCTGAACTTTGTTTTCTTTTGTTCTTACCTCGTGAAATACTTTTATTAATAAACGGATTATTTGCTTGGCATTCCATAAATGTAAACAAGTTATTGCCATGCTGTATATTTCAATGAAATATGGCAAAAAGGAACTGTTATTTGGGAGGCTATGACTCGGCACGTGTAATATCGCGTCATTGAGGAAGGTCATGAAATTAGAATGGATTATGGTCATAAAAAGAAAATGTTAAATGTCAACTAAACCAGAAGAGTTCAACAAAGGTCAAGTTTTGAAGTTGTAGGGTGGAGACCACATAATAGACAACAGATGAGGAAACCCTATAGTTCAACGTGGCAGCCAAATCAAACCGGGGGAAAAGCCCGGGACTGATCGACCGAGAGCTGGAAGTGACGGGCGTGGGGAGTTTGAACGCACAGCGCCCGGGAGGCTGAGCCCGAGTGCGGAGCTCAGTAACAATGGACCAATATGAGCGGAAAGCGTAGTAACGTTCAAGCTTTTACAAAAAAGATCACAAAACATCAGTCATTGACTGAAAAAGTACGATATTTTATGTGTCTGGAATATTTAAAAAAGAAATTTGGTACTTTATACTTGGTTGAAAACCATCCTAACTTCCCCGATTGGGAGGCTGAAAGGCATAAATTTTTCAGTGATGAATTGTAACATGCGTGATAGATAGCGTTTCTGTGTTCCACATTTAGGTGTCACTGTTCGATATAAAATTAACATCTAACTCGCTTGAATTGATTAAATGAAATTCCATGGTTTAACTTGATTATTAAAGTACAATATCAGCGACAAAAGTAGGAATTAAAAGAGAAAAAGAAAAAGGTCACAAGCAAACTTCATCAAACACGCATGATACACCGGGAAAGAAAGAAAAGGCATTTTCAAGAAACTGTCCATATCATTTTTGTCAAAAAAAGTTCGAGGACTAAACAAAACGTGAGAGTGTCTAATATTTCGAGAAGGATCTACCAAACCCTCTCACTGCATGTACATGTATTTTGTTTGTATGATTTTAGCTTATTGTAGCTAATACTCAGTTTGTAGCAATATGAATTTAATAATGTTGGCAGTTCAACGAAAGAAAGAACCTTTTTGATATTAAGAAACCTGCTACCAGGGCCCAGGGGATTTGATGTAATGTTGCAAATAGGATCCGTTGTCTGGGTCGTAAATGACCAAAGAGCACCGTTTTCTTGAATTGAAGTACAGTTAATTCAGTTCGGATAAGTGCTTCACATGGAGAAAAAAACCTTGTAGGCACTGCCATTTAAATTGAAAACCATAATAACGGCCGACGACTAAACAACATGCTCCCTTAGAGCGTCCATTGGAATCGTTTTTTCTACCCCTTTATTTTATTTTTGCATGATGAATTTGAACTTGATTCCTGCGGACTTCTGTTGTGGCTTGATCTGAATTTCGGGTTTTCTTTGTTCTAAAATATTAAAGCTTCATCAGGCGCACCTTGCCCGCATTCGATTCTACCTGAGATTATATATCATGGTTGCGGTTCACAGAAGGACCACAGAATGTTTTTTGCTGAGCCAAAGACCCATTGTCAGCTCACCCATGGCGGATCTGCTCTTTTGGAGACTGACACACATGCATTGATCACCAAAAAATCCAAGTATTATGACTGTTTTCTTGAGAATGATGGAATCTTCAAGAATCACTCAAGAAATCTCCACAAGCCCAGCACAATCTGCGGGGGTACTAGGAGTACGGATCCTTTTTTCCTGACATATGTCGTTTACTTTAGAATTAGAATGATAATACTTGTTTCAATAACAAGTGTTTCTAATTATAATAAGTCAATAATCTATTATTTTGTACACATTTGAGAGACGCTGTTTAGACCTTGCAATTGCGTCATTTAATTTATAAACCCCTGCAGTTTGACACCAAAAAATACCGCCAGCTAAGATCGGCCAGACTCGATAACAAAAAAACGTAGATCTTAGGTTTCCATCTTAATTCAGAAACTATTACAACAGACGAATCCTGATTGAAAAAAATAGGCCTACGTTGGAGTCTGCAGGTTTAAAAAGTCTCCATGCAATTGTCATTTAATGACGGTTTTTAAGACCAACTTGCATACAAATCTTATCATTTTTGAAACAAAGAATCGGAAAGACAACTGCTAACTGCTAAAACTTGCGAGTTCTTGAAGATTACGTGAATAACTTATCTGTTGAGGTTACTACATAAACAAGAAGTTCCGAGGTTGGAATAAAGGGAATTTTAACTAACATGCTCAATCTCTTTTATTCGTTAGGTTCGACAAAGCAACGCACTGCATTTTGCTTCAGGTATGTCGGATTTGTACATACAAATGTGACACATGTTCAAGTTCCCACCCAAGTATGTCAACAGATGCCCCGCCCTAATACACAACCACGTGATTCTACAAGCGGGATCCCAGCGTTTCGACTCGTGTGGTCTAATTTGGTGTAAATTCAGGCCCTAGACCTACTCGTGTCTAAATATAATATCTAAGTTCACCTGTGCTTCGGGTATCTCAGTACAGGTATTTCGTGCCCGGAAAAGAGAACTGGATTCAATTCGGTCAAAAGTTTAACGTCTCCAATTAAACCACGGAGGCAAACCCCTCACGCACTATTCTGAAAGACAAACACCCAGTCAAAATGCCTCTGAGGCTTTTTTAATGAATCTACAAATGTCGATCACGCAATTTCTACAAGACCTGTCATGCTAGTGGAGGCCTACTTCATTACGCTGACATGAATCTTTGAAGATTCCCGGGATCACAATATGTCAACTTCGCTTTTAATGGAGGTGTTTTGGCAACGCAATTATGTTGTGACCTTTCCAGGAAAACGTGGGACCGTGAGCTGAACTAGCTGGTTTCCACCCTTCGTAATAAAGTTTTCCTACCTGTAAATGACTGAAATGTAAGTTGTAGCCAGAAATTCCCGACAATCTCCCGACATCATAGCAGAACTTATTCACCATCGACCAGCAGACACCAATTCACGAAACGAAAGTAAACGGAGCGACGTCGGTCGAAAAACGTCGGTGCATTCTCATTCAAAAGAGGTTTCTCAACGCCCAGAAGGACCACTCACAGTACTTCGACGCGATTGCTTGCGTTAACAGACACTCATTTCATTTCAGTCTGTGGTTTGAACAAATTCACAAAGAACTTTTTGCAGGGGCATTCTCGGCCGGAAAGCGGGAGCAAGGTTTGCGATATTTGTATTCCTTGCCTTTTGTAAATACTCACATGACATGAATTGCCACGGTTGCAATGATCGTGAGTGATTACGTAGGCGTTGACCTCTCATGGTGACCCGGCAGCGGCGGGAACGAAAAGGGAATCCCCCTGATGAGTAACCAGTGACGTGACACACCAGAGCCAATAAGCAACCTCGTGACATTTGGGCGGTAAGCAGCATGAATCATATGGCTTTGTCGATTGGCCAGTTATCCCATATGCCTGTTATCTACCTAGGGAAGTGATAAAGTAAAATAATCCCTATTTTTCTGACGATAAAAGAGATACACGTATACAGGATGGCTGGCTGAATGGTACGATTTATACACTTCCATAACAGCTTTCTGCGCCAGTGCCCACTTAATCTTATTGTTCAACTCTAAAAGCAAAAGGGTCTGTAAACAAAAGGATAAAAAGGTATCCACAGCAAAAAAAATAGTCAAATCTTTTTATATATATAAATATATATAAATGGTCTATATGGTATATCTACTGTCAAATCTTTACCCACCATCGTCTGTATTGTGTGGCCTAAACCCTTCAAAATTCACACACTGAGTTTTAGAATACACATAATCCTCGATCGATATTAATGCAATGTATAATTAAGTTTCATAGTTCCAGATTTTCACAGCGACGGAACCAAAGTCACAGTTGTGAACGCATTGAATAGGAAAAGGGGTAATATTTAGGGCGTATTGGCACCAATTCCGTCATTCACAATGTGACAGCTATTTCTCTGCTCAATTCTATCATGGAGAAATAAAACACATTTCTCCATGATTCTATTAATTAGTATCTTGGGGGGGGCAGATTCGAGTATACAAGATGAGGAAGGTACGATCATGACAAAAGGACGAGTGGGAGGTGGTTGGACCATTCCTAACACAAGAGGTTGTGGCAAGTCTTTCTTATTCCATGGGGAGTTACCGTACCCAGGTGCAGACACGGGGGCCAGGCCAGGGGGTAATGTTTCTTGTATCGACCCGCCAGCATCATTCGTAAGGCACTGTCTATAGATGGCGCCTTCTCCATATGTTAGCCAGCTTTTGGGGTACGGTCCACTAATGCAAGCCCCGTAGAAAACAGTGTAAAATCAGCACTGTTCAGGGCCCAATAACATGCATACCAACATCGCTGAAATTTCTGAAACACAAATTAAATTATTGTATGGTCCCTAATCTTTCAATTTCTTTTCAGTTTTTTGTGGGTAAACCAAATGCATTTTTTTTTAATTATTCCCACAAAACAAAATTACCCCCCGAAAAGTGATTTTTCTGAAACCTGATTGCAGCCATTTTTCAATTGGCAACCCTTAACTTCCTCGGGCACTTAGGACCATTTTTCAACCGTAGTTTTTAGCCATTCTGTTCTCATATGAAAGCCGAAAAACCCAGGGAGTTGACCCTGGCAACGATTTACACAATCTTAATTTTGGGGCCAAACAATCTTCTTTTTCAAAAGATACTGTGGGGGCACTTTTAATGCTAATGAGCTGGCCAGAAATTCTCACTTGAATTAATGGACTACACCCTGGTGATTTTGAGGTTTGGAAGGTTTTTGATGCATTCTCAATAATTAGTGTTGTTTCGTGTCAAACAGCAAAAAATGGGTGTGTATAAGGGTCAATGCGCTCAAAGTTTAAAAAAGAACAAAAGGAGAAATGAATAATTAATAATTATTTAAGCATATTCTTTTCTGTTAAAACTTTAGTACAATATACGCGATGATAGTAACAAGCAATTTCATAGCATCAGAACAAATGCAAGGATCCTATGATAGCATATTTTATTGGGATGGGGTGGACGTCAGAGGGGGCAATAATGACAGTGTCACATGGTTTCCAACCCCCCCCCCAACCCCCGAAAATCGCACCGCCCATTCCCCATCCTACCACTCGCAACGCAGGTTTACGCCACTGATAGAGATAATGTGCAGCATCAGCTTTTTGTCTCAAAAAGCAAATGTACCCGGTCGGTTAGTGTTAATAGCGAACGTTCTTCATTTGGTGTTCGGTACCAGTACTATTCATTGTGAATATATATATACATATTTGGTTAATAAATTTTTGAAAATGATTTATGAGTTTTTCTTTTCACATTGCAAAGGAAAGGTTCAGTGGAGTAACTGTGTGTAATTTCTATGGGAGTCCAAGGGTGCATACATTATTTTCAGGGGGGCATCAATTGTCGATGAACTGTCGCTTGTGCATAGACTGTGTACATTTCAACATTTCAAGGGAAGGGGGCGCAGACCCCCAGTAACGTTACCGACTGGGCTTCAATTTACAGTGAAAAGAGCGCCCTCTATGTGTTTGCCTCCAAATGCACACTCGCTCCAAAAGAGACAAAGATGTGTTTATTTGGTCTTCGGTAGCATTTGTTTGGTAGTGTTTCAATAGCTGCGTGTTTCAGACAAGCTCCAAAAAGGAATTGTTACTGTCTTTGTACTTTCAACCAACCATAACAGCCAATCTCTCGTAGGTAAAAAGTAGGATTGTCGCGAAGAAAACAACACAAACCAAAAACACCCCAAACAACTTCCGCCCTCTCATACTGGAAAGTATTCACTGATTTATAGCACTATGTAAAAAAAATGTGTGAGAGCAAACACTGCCGTTACTATTACAGTGATTTGGTAAAACGTAATACTATATTCATCATAAGCCTGGAGTATTGTGGAGACAAAATACCGAAGTGGATCCCTCGACAGGAGAAAATACAAGAGTTTAGACAATGTAGAACTACAGATATCGCTGTGTTTGCCATCTTCAATGCTTGAGAAAGAATGCTTTCCCGCTGTCTTTGAATAGGTTTCCCACTTACATTTGACCCCCCTCTCTTAAATTAAGTCTTTTTATGTATACAGAACTTTACTTGTGAAATTTATCACTGCATCTGTATGCGCCGACTGTACGGATTGGAAATAGCGGACGAAGTCGCTCTAGTCTTTTTAAGCTGTCGAAAGACCAGCTTTTTCTTCATCTGTGCCGTCTCCCTCTGGAGCTCCAAGATGTGCATCTTGCGTGAGTGCTCTTCTTCCAACATCTGCATACGACGCTTGAATTCCCAGCGGGCGAAGAGTAGCTTCTGCTTCTCCAACTTGGCCAGGTTTGCGATATGTTCCGAGGGAACACGCGGAGCGGCCGTGTCTGGTCTATCATAGGCTCGGCCACTGAGGGGAACCTCTCGGTCCCAGTCAGGGTAAGAGTCTGACATGTCCTCATCTGAATCTTCAAGGAAATCATCATCATCCTCCTCTTCATCCTCGTCCTCATCTTCGGCAACGGTTGTTCTCTGGGTTGCCGACTCACCTACGATCTCCGGAAACTCATCAGCCCAGCTGTACAATTAAAAAAAGTTGCTTTTAAATTGCTTAACTTGCTTGTTTTAACCAACTGAGACAATTCAAATTTGGACTTTCATTGAAAATGCTTTCACCCCCCAAAAAGAAAAATTAATAAATAAATAAAAAATTGAAAAAATTCGTTTTCAAATTTACTTCCAATTGATTGTTTGGTAAATTTAGTGAAATAAAAAACTTTGTGTTTAGTTAAGTTTAGTAATAATCTCCTTTAGATGTCAGCTGATGATAAAGTTTTACAAGAGGAACTTCGAGTTAATCTAGTGGCTTGCTTACCTTGGTAATTCTTGCGTACTCATTGAGGCGTGTCCATTGTCGCGTGTGATTAGTTGCTGGCTCACTGAGTCACTTGGTGGCGAGTGGGCAAGGGTGGTAACCATGGTAACGGTAGCCTCATCCTTATCCAAATTTTCCACTCCCTCCTTTTTCACCTGTACAGTATCCTTGGTAACGAGTCTTTCCTCCCCTTGAAGTACCTCTGAGGCGGAGCCTTGATTTAGGTGGGATTGTAATGGTTCATCAGGCAATGAAACATTGCCTTCCTCACTCCTCCTGGTTTCAGGTTGAAAACGACTGACAAGAGATCTAAACCCTTGCTCATGGTGATTCGTCGTCTCTAATTTTGCCATCATGTCACAGATATACTGAGCCAAGTCGATATGTTTCTTAGAGTTAGACCGTGGTTTACCGTCCATCTGTCCTTGTGTTTCCAGGATGTAGTTCATTTCCTGTCTGGCCCAATGTTTGATCCGTCTCCACTGTTCTCGTACCCGCTGGACACTCCGTTGGACTGCACCACCAGGAGTATGGACTTTAGCTGTGAATTCAGCGTGTATATCCCGCCACGCTTGTTTGCGTCGTTGCACGGCGTCTGTATCAGCTGCTTTGTCTTCAACCACATCCAGTCGTTTGTGTACCAAACGGACGAGGAGAAATTTCTCACTCAGTCCCCAGTTCTGTGACCTTTCCCTCTTAGTGTGTCGGTCATTCAAATCATTCCTAAACATGTCGATGTCGAACTGATCAAAGTGGGACGGATTCATGCTGCAGGCGCCGCTGTTTTTCCCCAAAGAAGATCTCGTAAGTAAACGAGGGACGGCCATTTTGTCTCTGAGCCGATCGGATGCATGCCACACACGCTACTACTACGGTACGTACATGTATATGAACGTGTGTAGTCCACGTACTAACAATACTAAACTAGTGCTAAACACGACTACTGCCAGGTTAATTTAATGCGCGGTCACTGAATGAGTCATAATCTTAGTCACATTAAGGATAGCCTCCATTCAAGCCTCCGTTGCTAGTTATCGAGAGTCGGTGAAAAATCAAATAAGTGTAATGAAACTAAGGTCTACGGCACGTCTGTCGGTTTTGAAAGGGTCCTTTTGCGATGAACAATTATCACAATCGCTGAAAATATGAAATGCGCCGCTTGGATTTTTTTCCAGGGGAAACCACTTTTATCCGGGTTGGGACATTTCTAAGACTAAAACACTCGTAAGGTTTTATTATTAATATTAACAATAATAACTGCAGGAGGGGTCACTTGTGATTTTTTTTCGAGAAACTTTGCGATTTTCTTCCCCTTTCATCTCTTGTCAAGTTTCATTTTTTTCCATTTTTTCTTTTTCTGATTTTATAAGCGCCCCTTACACCTTGTGACGCCCATGAATATCTGAATTTACCTTATTTCAATTGGCTATTTTAAAACGGTATTTCGATGTATAGGCCTAAATATGCAATACGTTGATATCATCCATGAAGAAAACCTCAAAGATACAATAATCTGTGTACAAAAATGCTAGACTGTTTGATATGAATACATGGTCGAAATTTCCTTGTTGGTAATTGTTGTTGCGTAAGTACATGGCAGTAAACCAAGTTGCTATTGTTTCTGAACTATATATATACTGGGCAAATGTTGCTTCCAAAAATTGAACAGAAAAACCTACACCTGACCGATGAAGCACAAGTCGTATGGAAAAACATACTGTTCGGAAACGTGCTTTTCACCGCATTTAACCCAGAAAAGGTTGCCAATGGTAGTTTTCTTATAAAGAGGAAGTATAAAGTTGCACAAAAGGCGTGTAAGAAAAGCAATTATCCACGGAACCCTTTAAGAGCATCACATTCGACAAGCTACTCAGTGTCAGATGACCTGTGTTGCTCTGATGTCGCTATGTTTTTGACATGAGATTCGGAATTCACTTGGGGAAAACTAATTGTGACTCTGGCTTGCAGAAATATGACTTGATTACAACATAACCCATGACTTTAGTGGGCAAGCAGATAGAGACGTGTGGATGATGCTGGCAAGCCAAAGGTTTCAAAATCTGTACAAAAACTAGTCTGCCGTGTATGATTACCGGAAACATAACAGATTGACTTTTGTCCCAAACCTTGTCAAAATTGTCTGTAGTTACAATTAATTATGGCATGATGGTTATTTAATCAGTTCCACACAGCATGCAGTGTGTACGGTCGATCATTATGTAACAATTTAGACTGGCCAGGTCACGTTGCTTCATGACAGATGTTAAAGGCAGTGTAAATATATTGGATTTGTAAGATCTAAAAACGGGACTGTCGAATATTATCTTGAAATGTCTTACTGTAAAGAAAGTACATAAGAAAAGATAAATGGTGTTTTACGTCTTTCAAAAATTCAATTCGTTCAAATACCGAAACCATTAACGGGCGAAACGAAATGTGTGTGTGAAGCATTGATCTGCTGGAAGATCAGGTATACAAATTGTTAACATGCCTTCGGTAAGTCTGAACTCATTAACTAACAAAATAGATACATAACGGTAAGTAACAGTCTAAAGGAGAATTTGGACTGCTTTGAAATTAAAGTCCCTTTATGAAACTGAATATATAATCTCGCTACAACCCCTCAAGATATTAGATAATGATATCGTCCATAACAATGGCCATTCCTTCGGAAGCCTGAATTTCTCGAATCAAATCTCCTATTTCGAGACATTTATCATTCTGTTTTTCCAGTAACAGTAATTCTCATGCCCAAAATGCAAAGATAGTTATCATATATTCGTTTGATTATAAAGTGTTTATGATGGGCACTGATGCGGTGTGTGGACGGTTTTTGACCGACGTTAGTACGTGTAAAGATATGACTGGGTGGTCGATCTTGTACATACACATGTACTGTACATGTGCATGTACAGTACATGCACATGTACATGGTCGTGCGTTGACATGCCCAATGAAACCTTGTTAATTCGACAAATTCCCAGTGTTGCATTGTTGAAGAGGAAACACAAACTTGAAGGTAATTTGCAAACCACAAATTGTACGCGAAGCCATGGGGGAAAAATGAATTTTGGAGGGCCGTAATTGGTCTGCAGATCGACCTCGCCTGTGCAATTGTACAAGCACTCAGGAGGTGTCCAGTTGCCCATGGATGTTTGCGAGACAAACTAACACAAACCGCGCTTCGAGGGTTACACATGGAGTGTTTTTCTCGATTTTCCGCAAAGCAGCGATGTCAAAAATGAAGCAAGTTCGTGAAGTGACACACCAAGTAAACCACAAACCCTCAAATTGGCCAATTTTGATGCAGTAAATGCAAAATCCCATTCACCACCTTTAGGCTTTCGGTATAGAAAGGACTACTCTGAATAGAAAAATATCACCAGCGTAGTTGACAATAGTGGGGCACCTTAGGCCTATGGAAAAAGAGTGTTATTATCTTTACCATTCTGTGCGCTTGTCAACGTATTTCGTGCTGTGTCTACCATTGATATCGGATTAAGGTTTCAGAGGGGTAACATTCCTCCTCAGTATGTATAAAGTACGACTTCCAGTTTTGAGATCCAGCCAGGAAAGGACGTTAAAATGGGGGGGGGGGTATTCTAAAACGTTTTTCGATTTTTGAAATTATTTTCATCCGTAAATATTTCTAACCCCAAAGAAATTAGGTCACTGGGCACTCCAAATTCTTCAAAACAAAACAGAAAAAGAACAAACAGCAAAACAACTGGCGACATTTCGGGGACGTTGGGGCGACTTACCTCCAGCCATTCCCCTTCTTCCCGGATATGCCATTGTGACGATAGGGAGCATCGGAAATAGTGTAGATGCGGCTCCAGCAGTTTGTCTGAAAACCTATGTGAGTATACATAGGCACGTACAAAAATAAACACTGCTTTAATGTGTTGGATAAAGACAAATGATAACCGCGTAAAGTCTTGATTGAACCACACATATTTTTGTCGAGCCGCACATGTATCCCGGATGCGAACCATTTCTAATGGTCCCTATTATAAACATGTTCAACGCAGTTAGGGGGATACAGTAACTCCTATAGCTTTTTCAAGACAAACGCAAATACATACAGGGCCTATAAATCAAGAGCTTCTACATCATTATAGTTTTGAAGCAAGGTGCCACTACTACCAACTTTCAACTTTTAGATTCACCCTGGCCTGATTGAAAACGAATGGTAAATTAACAGAAAAATATCACTCTGTTCTAGAGATGCAGTGGCTCTGTTCTTATGATTTAAACCAAAAGTTCGCCTAAGATTAATAGTTGCACATACCGGGTATATATATATCAAGCTATTGAACTAGACTTGCATTATGGAGGACAAAAAGTAGCCATCTGCTTTTCTGCTATCAGAGTAGAAGAAAAGCAGAGTTAATGTTCTGATAACATGCAGTTTCGACTTTTCTACTTCTTTGCCATCTCAAAAAGCAGAACAAACATTGTTTGGTTATGCATTTTGCTATTTTTCTGCTTTTCTGCTTCAAAAAAGGCAGATTTTACTTTTTCTTTGTTCGCTGACGACCACGACGGCCACCTATGTTAAATCTGCTTCTCCGGTATCGCACAAGCAGTAAAGTTGAATTCACGGTTGTCATCAAAACGTTCAATCCACTTTCCTGCTTGTTTGACAGGTAAAAAGCAGATGGCCACTTTTCGGCCGCCATCAAAAAGAGGAAAGTAAAACTACTTTTGTAGTTGCAGAAAAGCAGAAAAGTGGAAAAATACATTACAATAAAATGATAATTCTGCTTTTGAGGTAGCAAAAAAAGAGAAAAGTCAAAAATTGCATGTTACAAAGACGTAAACTCAGCTTTTCTACTATTCTGATTGCAGAAAAGCAGATGGCCACTTTTGTCCTCCATACTTGCATTAAAAAGTTTATGGAATGTACCAGTAATATTTAATACTTTCTTCAAAAATGCGTCTTTCTGGTCCACTTAACCTGTTTTCTATTTCGGCATTTCAAGAGCCTTTTAGGGGTTTTTTGTGTCTTCGGACTTTTCGCGAACAATGTGAGGTCACAGTGAGAAGAGGCCTAAAGCTACATCTTTAAACAGTTTCCAGATTTTGTGATGTTTCAAATTTTCTTCATTTGTTGTTGTTCATTTCGAGACAGCAGTTGATCAAGCTTTTGTCAGAAATAATTATATTTAAGGTAAGTGTTAGGTTAAATTAAAGAAAAAACCACAAATTGGGCAGTGTTTCCTTGCACGAAATCACAGAAATCGCGTTCTTTTTCTCATGAAAAAAAAAACCACGAAAAATTTAAATATTTTCTCAAACTGCATTTGTTAGTAAGATTTGCCATGGCAGGGATTCATATGTAGTTTTATACATCTTACGAGATCAGACATTTGCACAAAATATGTGCCCAAGTAGAATGCGTGTCATGGCCCTTTGAAATAGCAATGCAGTCAGCTTGAAAAAAGGAAGAAACTGCATTTTGACTTCTAACGACCACTTTGTTAATAGAGCCTGAAAGTTGACCTCTGATGGCGGGCTTCTGGAACCCTTGGATAGGAAAAATAACGTGCAAAGAGTTTAGAATTTGTAATATTTTTTCGTTCAGTTACTTCTTTAAAAATACAACCCGGAAAAGGGGTTTTGGAACAATATTTTCTAGACTATATCATTTTTATAGAAACTGAAAAATCACCTGACCTAAAGGAGAAATATCCTGCCAAAAGCAGACCCATAATGCATAAAGAACAGTGCAATACAGCAGTCTCGTACGCAGATGAGCATTTACAGTCTGTCAGTAAAAGCCGAAATAACAGATCAAAATATTTGACACAATTTTTTAATATATAAGGTAATAAACTTAAAGCATTATTCTACCTTTACAAAAGAATCTAATATTTTATCTAACCTTTGCTGACAACAACTGTGTGGTGTCAGCTTAACAGAATCTGGAACCCATCAACTGCAGGTAGGTAAATCTTTGCAAGGTTGTACAATCCCGTTTTCACGAAAGTACGGGGAGTGGAAAGAAACGTGCATGAACAAGGAGACCTAGGTACGATATCGCTGGACGTGAAAGGTCGTTAATAAAATTCGTTTTTTACCCATCTCCAGGTGACTTTGCCTAAATATTATTTGACAAAGACAGAGATAAAATTCCAACATGAGTATATCATGGGGTGGTTTTAGTTAGGAATTTTTCTTCCAAACGTGATAGAACGGCCCAATGTAAAAATCCCCATAGGCAGACCGGGCAAGGGTTTACTTTCAGGCTCTATCCTTCTCATTCAAAAATAAAATTCAGTATTAAATCATTTTTTTACAAAATAGATACGGGCTTTCACTTAATACATCTTTGTCGGCAAAAACGTGGATGTAGAAACATACGTAGATAATTAGGCCTAAGGCTATCCCCAGTAAACTTCCGATAAGTCTATAGGTTTCTAATTCTGTATTAGAAGTGAGGGAAATGCAATTAATCATATTGATTTTGCAATTGTATAAGTTTCAAAGATTTGTAGTTTTGTTGATAGGCCTACATTACGTCCTCCACAGAAATGAGGAGCCGCTGACATAATACACTGTGCGTATTGCCATCCATGCCACCCATCCATTCTCACTTAGAGGTACAGCCTCAAGTTCAAAAACGTTCAACAGAAACAGATCGTATCGGTCATTGATTTTCCATCAGTCATTACAATTGTGTAGCCATTCAGAAATACGAAGGATGCGCGCAGTCTTTCTCAACTCCCAACTTCTCAACTTAAACGGCCCTATAATGATTCGGTTTCCGACTAACTGCAGGAACCTTGAATTGCGTCCTCCACCTGTCCAGTACCCGGTATTTTGCCGGCCCTATGGTTGAGGAATCAGTGCACATTTCTGAATCCCATTTTTGCGATAGCCAAATCCATGAAACAACGTTTCTTTGTAACAGCGAAGCTGTTTCGTTCAGTGGGCCGGGCGGGCGTTTGAAACAACGCCGTACAATGTTGTATATGGGCCACCGTAGCTATCACCACAGCGGCATGCGTGGCACATGTGGCCGTGCGTTGTATTGATTGCATATGCACTGTACAAGTACACATCCAGTCGCCATTGCTTGCAAGCACGTCACACAGGCTATTATGGGATGTTATTATCACACGGCCTAACCTCCAACGCTACCTGCACATAACCCTTACTATTAGCAATAACAACGAGGCCTGTAGTATCGTATGGGTCAATAAAACTGTTGGCTAGTGTATGACCATAAACGTGGGTTAGCTGCAGTAAAAACACAGCAGGGTAGTGTAGCCCCAGCAAATACTGCAGTCTTTTTCTGTGGATAGTCAATAATGAAGTGTGATCATTCTTCATCGGTTTTTCAGACCGCGTGCTGGTTTTAGTAGTTGCCCGAGGATTGGGAGTCCTGTGCGTGCAGCGAATCGTCCGATATGGTCATGTTCCCCCGACGAAAGCTCTAAGGAACACGGTGCCTTGTCATGGAGCTCAAAGACTTAGGTGAGCAGGTTTACGCTGCAGAAGAACTCCGTGATCGCAGAATTCGTAAGGTGAGTGATTATTATAGTCTCCTTCGTTAATTTGTCAACGAAAAATGTCACTTTAGATTATACTGCTTTTTATTCTATTCCTGACAGGGCAAGCCTGAGTACTTGGTCAAATGGAAAGGTTGGTCCAACAAGTGAGTAAATGCTTCGTGTATTCGAGATAGCAGTTCGTTAATCTTTTGCCTATTGTCGAATTTTGCTGGTGAATTATGCCACTGGCTGGGAGAATGAATTTGTTGGTTTATCCTCTGGGTTTAGGTACAATACTTGGGAACCTGAAGAAAATATCTTGGACCGGAGATTGGTGGAGATTTTCAATCGGAGGTGAGTACAACTTAGTTTAAACACACTCCAACAAACATGGCGAGATCGGTCAGTAAACACACGGCCGTTCATTAAATCTGCTGATAACGTTCATTTTCCTGCCTCACTGTTTTACAAACAATTTACAGCAGGGTCAATAGCGACGCGGGAACCTCACAAAGCAGTAAGACCCCAGCTAAACGTGGAAGAAAAAAGGTAGGCGAAATGCGCCGCATTTGAAATCCCAAAATGTCTGAATCGCTGTTACTTTGCTTGCATGATCTGTTTGGATTTCTTCTGTTTTATGGCCGATCGGCGGAATACTTTGCGAAACAAGCTTTTTGGTGGTTTAAAGTAACCCCTTTGCTTTCCGTCTGTCAACAGTCATCCATTGGCGGCAATACTTCTGGAAAATCTGACCTTGATTCGGAATTAGCTCCGCGAGCGGCCAAGCAAGCAAGGCGAGACTCTTCAACGGACCACGCCAAACCATTACCGGGAAAGAGGTATTCACTGAAACTCCCTACAACTGAAACTGACGAAAACTCCAATACAAAAGTCAGCAAGGTTGAGAAATCGCCTGGCTTGTTGGAGTCGAAGCTAAAGGATAAAAAAGGTTTAAACAAAGGTAATGTGGAAAAGGCCAAGGTCAGACGGAAGAGCAGTGAATCATCGGAATCTGTACTCCGTAAGACTAGCAAGAAAAGTCCCACGGTGACACTGGTCCGGGATGGCCTTCTTACCCTACCTGTCACTGCCACTGGAGCTTCACCTAAGAGCGTCAAGTCTAAATCTCCAGTCATGGTCTCATCACCCGTCAAGAAGAAAAAGAAAGTAGGAAAACCTGTAGAATCACCGAAGAAGGAATCGCTGACTCTGGACAGAGAGACTCCAGTCCCTAAAGACGAACCATCCCCAGAACCCGATCTTGCCGCTCTTCCCCCAAACCTGAAACCATTCACTGAAGACCAGCCTGAGGTTGTGCTACGCCCTCTGGAGGTATCTCCACTTAAGATAAAGAACCACGCGAAAAAACCCAAGCAGTCACCATGGAAACCGCGCCATCTTCCCGCCTCTGAGGTATTGGTTACAGATGTGACGTCACAGGACGTCACCGTGACCGTAAGGGAATGCACGTCCATGAAAGGGTTCTTTAAAAATTGTACTAGGGACAGTAACGGGGAGAGCGAGAGAGAAGACACGACCCCATTGAAAGAAATGAAAGAAGACAAAATACAGACTTTGAGAGATGTAACGGAAGCGACGGACGTTGAATCGAAGATAGCGCAAGATGACACAATGTAAATTCTACTACAGTGATCATTACAAATGTATATCGTTCGCGATCGCCTGCTCAATCTAATTGTGTACGCAAAGGCAAAAATTATATAGGCATTAATTTCCTTAAACCAGACATTTATGAAATGAGTCGATCTTGCATGCACAAAACTATGAATATGATAATTCATGTCTGCTAAGCATGTAAGGATGTCGGTCCTTCACCGACTTGTCTAAAGTATAATTTAAGTCAGGTTCGTAAATCTAATGTTTTTATATAAAACTGATAAAAAGAATAACTTACAAGATGGGACTATTTGCCTTAGGATATTGTAAACATCGAAAACCAATATGTGAAACACAATATACAAATTTGAGAATGAAGCAATGTAGAGTTATTGTGTTTGTGTTGTTACCTTTTTTGGTCAATTTCTTTAAGCGTCCTTTGCAATAGCCTGCAGTAATTTAATATTTCTCGCCGTCATTCAGTAATTGAAAATCCCAGTTACATGTAATTAAATATAAATTTGATTGATTCCGTTCATGGCGAATTTCATATATCTGCCAGAAATTTGCTCCTATACCTTTAAGAGAAAACAAGCCACTTTATTTGTGTTATGATTGTGTTATTTTTAGCAATCTTGACCGTAAATATCACAGCCGGTTTTTGTTTACAGGATTGCACGACCAATGTCCAATTTGTATCCACAGATTTTATATGGAGAGACCTCATTTAAGCTATAAAACGTTTAGTCTCTCTACGTTCTAGTATTAAATTCAAAGTAAGTACATGTAATTTGATACTCTGTTAGATATCAGTGCGATTTGAATTGTATCGATGTTATTGAGACTTTTAATGTTAGTGAGGATTTGTAAGTGTATCTTTCCAACACCGTCAGTGTGGACAAAAGCTGAAATGAGATCCACGCAGAGGTTTATGTAGAGATTAAAAGAAACAAGCATGGGCCACTAAATTCAAAAAAATTAATAAATTTTACAAATTAATATTAAAATAAAAATGGTAGGCCTATTTGAAATGTTAATTTAAAACTTTCCTCGAAATCCTAATTTGTTGGTTGAGTTAAAGTTATGAGGAAAGGCTATGATACTTGAGCTTGTCGTTTCTCTCGAAGTCTGTTGTTGTAAAATTTAATTATATAAAAGTCGTTAACAAATTTAATGTTGGAATTACATGTATTATGATGTTATAGAAAATACAGCATCAGCTACTGCAGTTGAAATGTGGCAATATCCGCCAACATATTCCAAGAATTCTTTTGATCTACCTAAGAATTGTTGCTAGCTGTTGTAGTCGATGTGATAAGTGTATTGCACGAATTTACGCTGAACGTCAAGGCCGGTTCATACTCCACGCGAAAGCATACCCGAATTTGTGAGGTCAGAACAATTATTGGCGCTTCGAATTCAGAAAAGCTAGACACATTTCAACTTCAGCAAAATTTGGCCCGCAAAGTTGTCGTGACGTAAAATTCAGTTCACGTTCGCTTTCGCATTCGTCTGAACTATGAAACGGCTTTTACGTGTTTAATTCATTTCTGATTTTCTCATTTTGTTTGCGCTTTTGAAGTGGTACTTACAAATGGGTGGAAGTGTGAAGTATAAGGAAGGACCAATTTGGGGTTTGCGTTGCCGATTGGATCCGATCGGTTCTGTGGGGGCACATTCCATGTTCGAATGTTGATGGTTTAACGCCCAATTATTCTGGACAGATTTTTCATCGTTTTATAAGCAAAAGTGAAGTAATTGCTTGCTTGCATGTTAGAAACCTGATGAAGGTCTTGAAGCATGGATTAAGGTCTCAAACATCCAATAGAATCATATTGGACCCTCTGTGTACCCAAGTGATTTTGGGAATGAGGAAAGAAATTATTTGAAATATGAAGAAAATATCAATTTGAATATTGGATTTTTAACTATTATTGTGATAGTTTGAAGGCTGGCACAGCTATACTCTTGCTCCAAGTTTTGAAGTATTTGTGTGTATGATACTTTAACATATCATTAACTTTTTACGATTTTTTATTTTTATTTATTTTTTTGATATTTCAAACAATCTATTAGCGGATTATTTATTGGGGACGTACGATTTTATCCTTGAATTGTTTGGTGACACCTTAATCCAGTATTCTCTATTTTATTTATATTTTGTGAAGAGTGGTTAGATTCACTCTTTGATTTTCGTTTTTTGTTTTGGTGTTTGTTTGTTTGTTTGTTTGTATGTTTTGGTGATTGTTTTGATACCCAATCAAGTGCTTGCATAATCACAAAGAAGTAGCTCCCTTTATAAAGCAACTAAGCGCTGTGTTTTTCCAGTTTTTATGATTATGTGTTTTATTCATTTGGAATACGTTACTAATCTACACGTATATATGGAGCATTTAATACAATGTCAACTTAACGATGACGTTTGTGGATGCACGGGCTAAACAGGGTTTCAGAACAAAGCGATTTTCTTTGGGCAAATTACATATGGGCTACTAAGTGCTTATTCAGTAAATTCAGTAAGCTTGACATTTTAATTAAAACAATTAATCTGGTGTCGGTTAAATCCTGAAATGTGCAGTTGAAATGAATAATGTTCGAGAAGGCTTCAGCTGTATCTTAAATTTCTATTAATGATTGTCCTCAAAATCATGACATGATTAGTAAGTTGTCAAATGGACATGATTTTGGAGAAAAATTTACTGTTTTTGACGTTACCAGTATGGGGGAGATAACATCGATGGAAAAAGTGTGCAGGTATGGGATACACATTCTATTTGCGTTTGAGATGGTTGTTGAGTGAAATGTAAACTTTTATCATGCTCATCAAAGTTAAGCTCTTTTTTGCATCGAATTGTATGTGCAGGAACGAAACGTTTTTGTCCCAAATTCCCCCCCTCGATCTGTGGGCTAATTTTCCTCTCGATCTGTGAGCCTAGGGTTTAGAAATGGCCAGTAATTTTTCAAAATAGAGTTGCGTATTATGTACAATTTCAAATGCAGTTCAGTCATTTGAAGCGTATACATTGTGTAACAATTTCAAATAGTGTTGTAGGTCATTTGTTGTACATGTATGTCGTTTGAGTTTTGGTAATTCAATTTGCGATTACAACTATCTAAACAATCCAGTTTGCTTCATGAGAAGCAGGAAGAGGTGATGTATGTCAATACAGTGCATGTACATGTATATTCAGGAAAGTTTTTTGCAGGCAGTGGACCCTAAGTACATGTATGTGTAAATGAAATTGTAAATGTGGTGTTATAAGATTCCTCCGCAGAGTTCTGACGTGCCTTGACTAGCTGTCACGAGGATAAAACATCGCCAAATCAAGGATTTATAGTCGCCAGCTGGCATTTCTCGGCCTTAACATCAATGTTGCTTCGATTAAGAAAGACAGTCAATTTGTTAACCAAACGATTCAGAAAACGGGGGCAAATAGTGTACTTCTATTTCCACTTGAACAAAACACGAATTAATCATGAGGCGAAGAGGCTCTGACTGGATGATATTGTGTTATGGGTTAAAGCATCTTTGTCTCCCTTCTTAAAGACATATTCAAAGGGTTGTTAACCATGTGCCTAAATGGTGCAAACTCTAACAAGCAAATGGGAAGTGTTCATGTTTGGCCCCCTTGGTTTTGTAAAGCTGATGACATGTTTTGATAAGTCACAGACAAGACACGAGTGGTGTGATAAGTATTACTGCGAGGAGGTTGTAAATGTCACCTTTTGGGTGTACGAGTGTAAATAATTGAGGAATGGCAATATGCAAACTGTTAGAAGTCAGACAAATATTTCATATATTTTTGAAGTATAGTAACATGGAATGAAAATGGCCCTGTTGAAAGTAAGTAATGTATAGACACAATGGAATGAACCTATAGACACAGCGCTATAATGTAACCACACAGCCGTTTTCCTATGTATATGCACATCTCTGTTAAATGTTACATTGCTGTTTATTCAAAAATATAAAAAGACCATTACAGTAGTCGAATGTGCAACAAAATTACTTTGTTCATCAAACTCGTTTGTGAGTTGCATCTCTGTTACCAAGTCATACCCTAATACGTAAGGATAACGTTACTAATCGGGATTAAAAGGGAAAAAGTTTGAAAAGTGACAGTCTCACAGCATAGATTTTCCCGGCAAACAAAGCAGTCATTTTAATAACATGCTCACAATCAGTAAATCCGTGGGACTACAATCGTGACAAATTAAAAACCCATTTTAGAATAATCACAAAAACGTTTCACATATACGACAAGCTTTTCACAACTTACTGTTTGTTGGTGAAACTAATTCATTTATTGGAAAGCTTGTGTAAACTGAATGCATGTCTGGCACCTCAAGCGATTGACAATGGTTCGAAATGAAACTTTGCGTGCGGAAAGATGACAAAATGGATAGGTTTCTTACCATCTAACCAAAGATGCTTATATCGAAAATAACGAAAATTTGATATGAAAATACTCACATATGATACAGAAACAACGAAAAATGAAAAAGGGTTTAATGCTGGCATAAAATAAAAAGGAAATGCAGAAACGATGACAAATAAATAAACAAGCATAAGCCTAAAATAATAAAATACGGTACGAGCGCAAAGGCGAACAAACATCATTATCAAGAGTATACAGTGTGTGGTTGTATGGTTGCTACGTGGAATTGCCTTTGTTTGTATCCCCGCGGTACCAGATTGATTGCTTGTAAGCGAAACTGAAAGTGAACCTCATGGTTGAATTGCTATTCCCGGCAATCTAGAAATAAATGACAAGTTCTGGTTCCACTAAAATTTACACTTCTTCTGAGGGTGTGAATTCTTGAAACGAACCTGACGAATAGGGGGCCATCAATAAAGTACGTAAGGGGAGGGGGTTTGTGCCGTTGCATACACCATGCATACAGAGGGGGTTGGTGCCGTTGCATACACCATGCATACAGAGGGGGTTGGTGCCGTTGCATACACCATGCATACAGAGGGGGTTGGTGTCGTTGCATGCATACAGAAGGGAAGGGGGTTCAAGCCAGTGCATATATGCAAGCCAAAAATTTGCCTTTAATGAATCTTCATCATATCAATACACTTTCTCTTACAAATAAATACCAGAATCAGCCTTTGTGCGTCGAAAACCATTTATCCTACTTTGCCAACACCCATTATTAGTAAATCGCATCATTACTCATGACACTAAGACTGACAGCGTTTTCCGGAAACGTACAGGTGCCCTCTACGTGCATAAGTGAAAAAAAGCACCAGGATTATATTTGGGGGGGGGGTTATTCAACATCTTTTTTAAGCTGCAAAGTAAATGCCGTTAATAAAGAAGTACCCATGTAAAAACCTGTTATTACTTTGGCCCTTTATTTCAGAATTTGGAAGCGATGTGCGATTAACAGTAGGCCTATCGATATTACAGTAGATTTACAATGTACAGTGACATTTAATTATGCTAAAGCAAAGTACCCTGAGAAGTCAACAGATTATGTGGAATACGTATGCATTCAGGAGGTAGGGGGGTTGGAGCCACCGCGTACGGCGTGCGTACAGGGGGCCATGGAGGGTAGATATGAAAACTTCGGCATTTCATGCGTACGTACTTTATGGGTAGCCCCTAATGAGGTTGATCGCGTCAGTATAAAGTAGAGGATTCATGTGATACGATTTTTTGACATAAATACACGTAGGTATGGAATTCCATATCTGCTGTCGCCCGTCGTCCGTCGTCCATAGCCTTTTGGCTATTGTTGTGTCCCAATTCTATGGTGTCCTATGACCGCCAAATGTGCGTCGCGTCGTCCCGTCGCTCCGACGCCGCGACGCGACACCACGATGCGTCGCTACGACAGCTCTGTGGCGTCGTGCCGTTGCGTCGCGGCGTCGCTTCCTTTACTTTAATGCTGCGAATAATGCATTACGTCGTGCCGTCGTGGCGTCGCGTCGTGCCGTCGTGACGTAGCGCCGTGCCGTTGCGTCGTGTCCTGCTGTCTTGCCGCAGCGTCGTACTGTCGCGTCGTACCTTTGCGTCGTGCCGTCGACCCGTTGCGTCGTGCTCTCGCCGTCGCCTCTTTACTGGTAGAAACAGGGGGCGCCCTTAGAGACGGAGTTAAGTTCAATTTCATTTTCCATGATCAAATCGTATAGGCCCTATGGGTGCATTCCACCCAATCGTTGGATTCCTGGGAGAGATCCCAGGAATCTAACGATTGGATGGAATATTATAATATAATATGTATTAATATTTTATGACCCTACGGGGTTTTTACAATAAGACATGCCATAGTCAGGAGGGATCATAGTAACATTTCTATAAATCCCGAATTCGGGACTGATCGTTTCCACTTCAGGGTATTTCTTTCACAAAAAGCCCCAAATTGGGGACCTATTTCGGATAGAGGCGGTGGCTACATTCAGAGCTGAGTGCAGAGTTTTGGGGGTATCTTGGGGGAAAGGTGAATAAAAACAGTTCACGTGGCTCACCCCCATAAAAATGAAACGATCTTTTGGCCATAGTCTTGAATTTCCATTGAAAAAATGCGGCGCTATTTTGGTCTGATTTTGCACTGTTTTCTATGGGCGCGCGCGTATTTGGTGTAGTGCAACCATTGATCTCTATTATAAAGACTGAATAGGCCATCGCCCATTGCGTGTGTACAAAATGTGCAGCCGTACAATGGCGTAATGTGATGCTGTATGGTGCGCGTTTAGTCAAAATTGATTATGGAGAAACAATTGTAATGCGAGAGTGTCATTTCTCGGTTTAACAGACCATTTCCTTGTTAAATAACCCACTCCAAACTGACAATAATTAACCTGGTTTTTTTCTGTTTATTGTGTTCGTTTTGTTTTTTCTTCATTTTTCCACCTCTTGTCTACAGTCTTACTCGGGCAATGTTGTCACCTTGGGTCGGTTTAATCATGATTTGATGAGTGTGTAAACATTCCTCCAAAGTTCCTCCAAGACCCACAGTAAGTGTTACATTATAATGTCGAAACTGTCCACGTGTTTTTCCGTCTGTTGTCAATGAGTCAACACTGAAAAACTTTATCAATTAAATGAAAAAAGCCTTAATTTTAATTTTAAAGACTCACAGGAAACACTGTACTGAAATTCATTTATATACTGAATAAATTTATTGAAAACTGATAAGTGTGAGATTTTTTCTGTGACCCCAAAATGAGCTGAACTTTGACTCCAAGCCAAACTAATTAAGTTGGTGCCACTTTCACCACAGCAGTTATAAATCAAATTTAAAAAATTGAGTTCCAAACTTGACTAAAGATTTACATTTAACAACGACTTTCTGAAAAGAAAAAGGCCAGTGTTAACTGAGAACGAATCATTGTATAATTTAGACAAAGTTTCTTTCATTGCGTTGATTGAATTTCCTTGTTCGTTACTTCATCCGACGAAAACGTCAGCTCTCTGGCTCTTGCTCTAGTTTCATCTCTGCCCTGAAGATGGATATTCCGTCCCTCATATTACATCGTCTGTCCCACGATTTGGGTTCGGGGCGTTTGCAGGACTGTCATCCAAAAATCATGGCTTTCTTCGAGATTTTTCCAGTGAAATGTGGGGAAAATATCGACAAATTAATTATTCAGTTTAAAACCACTTTTGCCGATAAATAATATTTCAGACGGTCCCAAGCATTATAGCACAAGGTGTGCAGAAACCTTCTGAATGTGCGACTCACGTGTCAAAAGCTGCTCCTTCTTCCAAACTTGATTTTACCACTGATCTCTGGCAATTCTCCGCTGCGCACACCTCAACCATTATTTTTTCCAAATTTATCCATCCGGGGACAGAATTCAGTTTTTATACTTCAGTCTGACGACAGAAGTATAAAACTCTCAACCAGCAGTTTGGAAATCTCCGTATGAAGTGCACGCAACAAAATTCGCAACGCTCGTTATTTACCCTCCTGAAAATATGCACACGCGGGACGCGTTTTGGACGCGATATCCTATCTAGTCTTTATAATGGAGATCAATGAGTATAACCCCATGCACGCACATTATTTTTTTCTAGGACTTGTGACATACGCCCTCTAGTAATCACCAACCATTTTTAAAAACAGTCAGGCACGACGGCACGAAACGACGGACGACGACACGACGCGACAGCACGATACGACGGTGCGGCGACATGAAGCGACGGAAGCACAATACGACGGCAAGACGGCACGACACAATGTATTTAACACAGCATAAAAGTAATGAGAAAAGAGGCGACGCTACAACGCGACAGGACGACGCAACGGAGCTGTTGTAGCGTCGCGGCATGGTGTTGGAGCAACGGGACGATGCGACATCACGACAGCACAATACGACGACGGCAAGACGGGACGGCACTACGCGACATCATCAAGAAACAACACTACGCGACGGCACGACGCAACGGCAAGACGGCACGACACACTGCATTAAACACATCATAAAAGTAATGAGAGAACAGGCGACGCTACAACGCGACAGGACGACGCAACGGAGCTGTCGTAGCGTCGGGTCGTGGTGACGGAGCAACGGGACGACGCGACGCAATTTTGGCGGCTAAAGAACACCATACAATTCTGCCATTTTTCGTAGCCCGTCGTGCGTCGCCTGTCGTCCTTCGCCCGTCGTGCGTGGCTGTCGTCCGTGTTTTGTTTTGTTTTTGTGGTCACGCTTGCGCCTTGATATTTTTAACTTTGACCCTTGATCGTTTCACATGTACTTGTTCGATCGATCCATCGTGCCCGACTCTCATTTTATTAGTAGAACTAGAAGATGTATTCGTTTTTGCAGTTGCGCCGAACTCCACTTGAAAGAAGAAATAACATCCTTTCATTTTTAAAGACTGACATCGGTAAAGTGACGTGTATATGAAATAATACCATTTTTTACATAAATAAATTAACAAAATAGACTTTTGTTAGGGTAGATTGTTTTTCTTGATAACTTAGTTACTCTATACGTAACTTACTCGTTAACAGCCTGACTTTAGGTCTATAGCCTATGTAATATTTCTGTCTGTCCCTGCACGATATCCCACAGAACGGAATGTAAATAATAAATTATTTACAATGTTTGATTCCTTCAATTTTTCATAAGAGACGAACTGATTCAACATTATTTTGAGGGCGGGTATACCTATGATGAAATCTGCTATATACTTCAAATTAGACGGACGACGCACGACGGGCGACGGAAAATGGCATATTTGGAACTGGTAAATGGCAGAATTGGGACACAACAAAAAGCAAAAGACGACGGGCGAAGGGCGATGGACGACGGGCGACGGCAGATATGGAATTCCATACGTAGGGGAGTTGTCTTGCAAAGTTACTGTGACTTTCCACCGCATTCAAAAAAGTCAAAGGGAGAAACTTCAATATTTTAGTTTTACAGTGATGAAAATTTCCATATTCGTTTGCAAAACGTGATGTCACCCAAGGCTAGACAGTAGACTTCATACATCTGTGTACGACATAATCTCCCAGTTTCTTACTTTTTTGAGTAGTTTCACTTTGCAAAATTTTCTTTGTTGTTAGGGGCAATTTTCGGTACTGTTTCTTATGCTTTTTGAGAGTGCAATTTGTGACAAAAACAGAATAGCGCCATCTAAAAAGTATTGGTAAAAGGAATTTTTTACGATTGTGAAAATTACTACCTTCTCGGCACTTCCAGAGAAAAGAAGTGCCATGATCTTGTTCCTATTGTTACACATATCATGAAAACAAGTTAAGCTGAATGTCCACCACATGTTTCCGTTAAGACGAAAATCGGTTTGAAGGCTTGTTCAGTAGTTTTTTAATTGCTGGGCAGCCCTGTGTTGGGTTGACTAAGCATTATTTCTACCGTTATTTTCAGAATTGATATTTCCCGCAATTTTTTTATTTGTCTCGCTGAAAATAACACTATATAAATTTGAAATTCTAAGCAAATGTTAAGGGATGGTATTATAAAATTCTATTGAAAAACCGTAGCGTTTCTTGCCACAATCGAAATCATCAAAGCACAACACGCCGGCAGTCAAGCTAACATTTTACAGGGGACTCTTTCAGTTTTGCCGGCTTTTTCCCTGACATTTCTCTCGTGAAGGGGGGGGGGAATATCATGAACGAGAAAGTATCATGCAAGAAGGAAACCGTATATATGAAAACCAAAAGTTTTTTTCTCTGTGCCTTTTAATCGGGTAATTTGCGATCATTGTACGTATTAGTGTAATGCAGTAAAAGTCAACTTGTACCGAAACGCACTCGTACCTGTGGGTTTGTGCGTGTAGGCTACTGTATGCAATGCTCAAAATCCGGACGTCTCATTTTTGAAAATTTAAATTCGCATGAAAAACGAACCGCCTGTCAGACAAATGGCTTTCAATCTTGAAGAAATGAAATGATGGATATAAATGATTCATTAGTCTTCCAGACAGTATGATCGATGACCCGAGGGGAATTCGATAAAAGTGTGAAAATTGGGCACTAAGTAAGGTAAAAAAAAAAACCGGAAATTGATGAAAATGGGTCCCAATGAAAAACATGTAGCATCAAAGTTATTTGAAGGTAAACACGGCAAAATTGTGAAAATAAGACACAAAGTTAGGTAAGACTACGATGATTTTTTCATAATTATCCTATGTCGTAAATTGACATTTTCTACTTTGGTTATTTTCCGGAGATCTTTCTTACCAGAAGCTATTAAATATTGCCATCTGATAGATTCTTGGCAATTTATTCACACACGAGGTCTTTAACAGAAATGACAGTAGGCCTACAAATCCCTCACATGATTAGCATCACCTAGGCCTATATACGTCGTCTGCCAAAATAATTTGCAGGCCGACGTCCATTATGTCACTATTGCGCATGCGCGAATACCCAAACTAAAATGCACGCACAATCTATGGGAACCGAACATACATGATATGCAGAAAGGCTTTATGGTTGGTGTAACAGGGGTTCCACCAACAGAGTCCAGAGATTGAGATGCAAGTTCACAACTGATGTGAGTGCAGATGACGCCTACTGACCTCTGTGAGGCAGTCACAAGTAAGGTCTTGCCGAAATATTAATTTCAAAATCGGGAATTAAGTGATTCTGCACTTTCTATTAGAATAAGCTTATTTTAAGAAAGGTAGGCCTATGATTATGATGAAATCTCCAATAGCCTTTTTTGTTTACCAAAATCAATCAAGATGGGTACGGCTTCAGGAAAATACTACCCAATTTTTGGATTATTGAACTAGACTTGTCATTTGAAGGGGCACTGACGCACCGAAGGCCCTGTGATGAATCGTCATAAATTCCTTGCATCTGCATTTGTGATTTTCTGACGTTCTTTTAGGGCCACTAGAGTAAATAGACTTGACTTTGTGCATGAGGAAAATAAGTTGCTTCTGATCTTCTCCTGAATCCAAAGACATGATTCTTCATACCACGTGAACGGCCGGGCCAAGACGAAAAGCTGGAGGTTATTTTCTCAGAATAGGCTTCACGTCCTAGCCCATTCGAATCAAAGAATCTCCACCTCTTGAGTCTTTCTTCGTCTCTGTTCTCTTGGAGAGAGCAAAGAGTTTTTATCGATAATCTTAGCTGAGAGATGAATTCCATTTATTGTCCAGCGTTGGCTTGCTATCACCATGTGCATTCTGCAACTCTTTAGCTTGGAGCGCCATCTGAGACGAAGAGAACCCCTCCTGTTTTCGTGTTGGTCATTGTTTTGATGGAAGCTCAGAAATTCTTTTCAGTCATGGGGGGGGTATGTGTCAGGGAACAAAAGTCTAGAGTGTGTGTAGGGATTGGACATGTGGGGGGGGTGCCCTTCCGTCTTATTTCTTGCAAGTAAGTTTATCGAGTGGGTAATTTTGGAGCCCCAATTCATACTATATCAGATAATGATTCTACAAATAAAGACCACGTGATTAATTCGTGTTAAAATACATGCATTTGAAATATTATCTTGGAAGTGTTGATTGGTAAATTTCTGAACGATAAATCTTTTCTGTGCAGCTTACATGAATTCTCATCGTTACAGTTGTCAACATTTTTTTACTTTTAAAAAGAAAAAAAACTAAAGTTAATTTATATTTAAATTGGATAAATGCGAATTTTAAAAAGGAAATGAACAAGAAACATTAAACATATAAGTAAAATGAAAGGAGTGTTTCCCTTTAAATGAAAATCTTTATTCACCAACGACTACGAAATAGAAAATATTAGCGGGCTGGCAAATCGAAAAATTCAGAGAGCACATTAACCCATCGACCATTTGAAAGGTGTACTTAACTCTTAAAAGCGCCTTATTGTGCTGGACGTTTTAATAATTCGATGCCATAATGTCAAATTTCTGTGTCTATCACGTCAATTTTGATCTGTCACTTTTGTTTGAACTATACATTCTCACAGCAAAATACTTCTTAGAATAATCGAAACCTTTTGAATAGGTGATGTCACAAAAGTGGTTTAACTATATAGCGGGCTTAGAGTCCTAAAGTGTGGGATTTCACGACACGTCAGTGAACACTCAAACAGGAGAAAGCGAGTTTTTCCCACTGAAACATTTGAAAATCTAATGTCCACGCAACAATTCAAGACCTTGGCAATTTACAGCTAGGAGAAGTGTATCGAATTTAGTTGATTGCCATTGTCGTCTTCATTTAATCTAACTTTGGCAGTGACACTTGGCATATTCTGATACATGTGACAGAATCTATGACAGTTATGTTACTTGAAAAATCTCGGTGAACTGTGAATTCATTGGAATAAAAATCGCCGACGTCAATGTTGCATGCAAGCAATGCATGCTTTGGAAAAAAATAGGAATATCGAGAAAAAAAACGGTCTTGAGAGAATCTTGAAAATGGAATCCAGGCTACATCATCACACAAAAAGCCGGTCTATGAAATGGAATCCAGGCTACATCATCACACAAAAAGCCGGTCTGATGTTTGATTATTAACATTTGAACGGGTCTGTTACATTAATTGTTAACTGTGGCAATCACTAAGAGATTAGATCATATTTAATACATAAATATACAGAATAAATCTACATGTTGGCTAATTAATGGAAATATGCAAACAATGTCAATTTCCAGGCAAATATGAATAGGCACAAACAACTTTAAATAATTATTAATTTAAAAAAAATCACATTTTGGCCGTATAAACGACAGTCACACTTGTACAGATATAGGCATACAGATCATTGTGTACAAGGGCAGACCCAAGGGGTGGGGCAAAGGGGTACCCCCCCAAAAAAAATGGAATACAATTTTATTTTTAAAAAGAAATGACTTTTTGGCCTAGTTCATTTCATGCCCCTCCTTTCCATAAGCGTGTAAAAGCCTCAAAACATAGAAAACTCCAAGTTCCTCCCCCCCCCAAAAAAAAGGGAAAGGAAAAAACCACATACAAGTTGGTCCCCCAAGTTTGTGTGGGCCTTAGAAAAAAAGAAATACACATAGTATAGTATGTGAAAACCTTAAACGGGATTTCTCACACTCCACACATGGGTCCTGTGTCTGATTAACAGTTTTAGAGAAAATAGGGTTTAATAGGGATATCTGGTGCGATATGAAGAGAATGCTAAAGGACATTATGATCAAACAATTCGGGATGACAGATTGTTCACAGTGCTGTAATGAAGATCCAGAATTTTTAGAAAAGGATGTATTCAATCCCATGTCACATCTGATTGATTTAGCTATAGCTACCAAGAGCACAAATCTCCACAAGAAATGAATGAAGCTAACAGCATGTAGTACTGCCGGCCCTCGAGTGTAATTTAGTGACAACAATTCAAAGTCGTTACGGCAGTGACACAACGTTCGTGGACAGGTGATAAACCTGTGTTACATGCCTCATTGACCAAAAGGGTCACATGGGCGTGCGCATCAAGCGGAAACATGTGCACATGAGTGTGATGCCACCGGCAAGTTATGGTGTACAATTGGATCAGTCTTTAGACATTGTGACCTAGTAATTATTGTCCCAATAGCCCGGGAGATCACAAGTGTCCTCCTCTTGTCTCTATGGTTACACTCCACAGCGCCCTCTATGTACAATGCATGAATCCAACGTAGCTTTCAGTACTGATACGAGCCAAATGGCAGTAATGATGTCAAGAGAATTGGGATGATTTCCAGTGACCTTTCCCTCTTCAATGTTTCCCAGCTGTGGAAATCTCAAACCGTTCATGGGGTAGCAAGGTAGCACAGCTGGTGCAGACCACCTCATCAAGGTCCTGGCTGGGTTTATGTTCCTCCATGGAGCGCTGCAGTGTACGAATGGAGGGTAGAGGATAGTGTTGTATGAGGAGATACTCATATCCATTGGATCCACACATCTGCCATAGAGCCAATGCTTTCTGGATTGTCTCTGTGCTCCATTTAATACCCCTCATGCTGCCTCTGTTCAATGCCTCTAGCTGATCTCTACCAAATAATTTCTGCATATGATTTTCAAGTCTCGCCTTCCTCTTGAGCATTGTCTTTTTCTCTCTCTTCAGTTGTTGCAGCTTGGTTCGGTACATCTTCAACCTGTGTCTCATCCTAGTCAGCTTGTTTTCCCCAGCATTCATACTGAAGGAGTCTGTGAGGGTCATATCTCCCTGAGTGATGCCCTCAGCTTCAAGTTCTTCATCAGCTGTGCAAGGCAATAGCAATGACTTTAAAAGGGTTCAAATTTCAAAATTAAAACCCATTTTAATATGCAATTTACTTTACAAATCCAAACATACATTTTGCTAACCTACTGACCAACAAAAAGTCTAATTTGGCAAAGGGAAGGTCCTTACCATTCAATCCTGTAGAAATGACGGTCATAGAGGAATCTAAGCTTTTTAAATATAATATGGCAGAATGGTGAGCCTTCTGCTCCAAAGAAACAAGGCCTGAATGTATATTTTCCCCTCATTTCATTATTCACAAGTAGCAGAATGATCATACATGTACTTAACCTCTTTGTACTAACCCTAACCCCATAGGGTGTATGTAAAATTATGCTGAAATTGGAGGATTGCGGACTGTTAATTTTGTTGCATGACTTAGCCTAGAGATACATGCTATCACTTGTTTGTGTTATGCTGTGGATTATGTTAGATTGAATTTTATTATACGTCAGTCATTTTTCGATGGCATGTTTCACCTTCTTTTAAAAAAAGACTGAGACTCGAATCATTTTTATTTATTTATTTATTGAGTAACTGAAGCCCAACTTGTACATTGAAACCAAATTCACACTGACACTGCTGTCCCACAGTGAATCTGACAGCAGTTCTCAACCCTTTTTAATGGGATTTTTGAGCTTGTGCCCCTAGGGGTAGGAATCAGGGAGCAAGTGACAATCCCACCTCTATGGCAGTCTCAGACGCAGAATCAACTTCAAAAGGATGCACTTACAGTCTTTGGCACTTGAGATGATCTCAGCAGCATCACATGGTGGTGGGGGGCTGGCAGAGTAGGCGTGATCATGGGGGATAGGATTTCGATGAGGGAGTTCAGGCATGGGTGTAGGGGCCGGTGACACGGGTCGCATTTGGTAAGGTATCACTCTGCGAGCTTTGTCACCAAAGATGGTCGGCACTGCATTGAACTTTAGTTTCCGTTTCCTGTCAGCCCGATGCTGCTCATACTGATCTTCTTCAAAATGAACCTGGACACATTGAAGAAAGTCCAAACTGTTTAACAGTAGTGAGCTATTTTCTTTAGATAACCATCAGAAAAAAGAAACAAAAGAGTGCAGCCACTAGTGAGGTACTTCGTAACATTGCAGCAATACAAGAAGAATGATTTTAACTGCTCAAGACACTTCCGTGCTTGAGTGTTTGATCTACTTCATTCTGTGTTGTAGTCCAGCCCATTGCAAGACATTGCTCAAGATGATAGACAAAGAACAGGGTGAACAATGACAAGGGACAATGACACAGGACGCTGACAAAGGACGATGACAAAGGACAGCCTGCCACAGTTTAACTGAAGCTGGATATCATTCTAAGATGATATTTCATGTATATATGGGCTATTTGATCCAAGTCAAAGTTTGGCTTAGATAGATCAGTTTGAATCGAGGTACACGCAAGGAGAAATATCAGCGTGCTGCTATCCCTCAATTCTAAGCTAAGACTTTAGGCAACAACTTGATGCAAACCAAGAACATGGCCCATTTTAATTTGCTGACCCCAACTAAAGACACTAGAAAGAACCAATACTTATTTGCAAGGCACAAACAGTGTTCATGTCAAGGGTTTCTACTAAATAAACAAGGGTCGCTAATCTTTTTCACCTAGATTTCACCAGTCTTCTTTGACTGGTGCACTTGGCTAGTTTGGTTTGTTACAAAAACTTGTGATACGATGGGGAACCGACTAGGTAAACAGCCTGGCAACATATCAGTTAATCTGAATATAGACTTCTAATATTTTCAGAAGTTGAACAAGTGCTAGTCTAGTCTGGAGCTCTGGATATGAATCGTTTGTGTACATGCTGGTGAAAATTTCAGGTTGGCAACAAAAGACGTTACAATTTGAGATGAGACCCAAAAATTTGATGGTTGTCTTGGTTTTAGCTGACCAAGGAGATGCATAGCCTGATGGACATTTCAAAAGTAGTTGGTTGAACCATAGTTTACCCACTTGTTTAGCCAGCCTCTACTGCACATAGCCTTGGTCTGGACTTTTTGATAACTTTATGCAGTGTAGGCCTAATGCATTAAGTTAACGTTAGGCTAGGCTAGTATCACATACAAAAAAACAGGAAAATTTGGTTAATTATTATAAATAAACCTTGGTACAGCTAAAAGTGGATATTTAGTCTAATTGGCAACCAGCCACAGTCATGAAAGTACATCATACATTTATATAACTAAATATTCCTTCATTTCCTCATGCCTACCTCACAGACTTGAGCATATATTGTAGCAGTCCAAGGCTTCCCATTCGCATTCACGTGGGTTTGTTTGATATTTTCTACCCAGGCTCTCCGTCTTTGCGGATCTCTAGGAAACTTATGCATCTTGAAACCTTTCTCTGGGCGATTCGAGCAACCCTTAACACTACAGCCTGTCATCTTGCATGCAGCATTTAGCTGAAACAAACAGGAATTAGGAACACTTGTGTTTTTGTACTACAAGCTTCACGTACAGTATTCACAACTTGCTGAACTTTGGGGACAACATGGCGCCTACGAACGACTTCATGAAAATACCTGGTACCCGTCATGTCGTTACCAGGACGATTGTACACGATGTACACCAATACTGTAATGTCATGCGTCGTCTAGTCGACCGGTCGTGGTCCGTGAATATGTTCTAGCGCCCTCAAGAAATAAATATTGCTCAAATTGCGCCAACCATTACACGTATACTGTCCCAAATAATGTGTTTTCCTCAAATAAGACCTGTGGATGCCTTTTCACCCATGATGATTTCTACAAATCCTATAAAAATTAACTACATTTCCTCCTGCAATCAAAGGAAGACTCAGCAACGAACATCCTCAAAACAAAAACATAAAGGCCTAGGTAACTCCTAGACATGCAGAATGACCTTTAAGTGCTTGAAATTTTATTTTCTTGTCTAGCAATTTCAGTCGATTACAATTCAAAGCTTACGCTTTGGTAACTGTGGTTAAACTGAAACAAAACTACAGCAATTGCAGGCACAAAATTCCCTGTGGTTAATAATCAGAACTGAATGAATTGTTTTTGTTGACAGAGGATTACACCATGACGTGTTTGATGCTTGCGAAAGATGCTTCTCGAGATTAATAAACAGTTTATTTGTAAGTGAAATAAAGCTTGGATTGGCTTTTGGAAAGATGTCGTTAGTTCTTCAAAATTTAATAAAAGAGATCTTTCTCGTTCATGGTTGGTGACGTGGGTGTCATAAATTACCTGATTTTGTTGTTTACATGAATATCCGTACGTGGCAACAGTTTCATGGAATAGTAAATTTGTGGTTTTGTTTGTTTTTAGGAGACCGAACCACTATTAGCATAAAAACACCACGTGGCAGGAAAACATCAATCAAAACAGCATCTGTGTCAACTCCGCAAGAGCTTGAGTTTGGGCCAAAAATTTCCCGGAGATGTGGGTGTAAATGTGAACAAAATAAAAAGGAAGTTTAATTCAGGTGATTTGGCCATGCCAACATCATTGAATTTGATTTCATGGGTGGGGGGGAAGGTTTTACTTGGTTTACACAAACTGAGTTGCGATGATGACATGGCCTAGAAGTGTGGATACCGCATAGAAAGATGTATAACGCCCCCAACATTAAAACAACGCCCTTTAACCGCATCCTGGTAACACTTCATGAACGTGCTTTGGTGTTGTAATCCAAAGCTAAACACGTTGTGGTGTTTATATTTCAAACAAAATACGCGTTAATGTGTTAATAAAATTTAGACACAATGACACATTCGGGTATTAATGACAATACACAAAAACATGTTTATCACATGGTGACACTTCCGTTTTAATTGAAAACGGTTACATGTTTACAACGAAAGCAAAGACACATTTATACGGGCGTTGATTTTTACATTGCAGTCGTAAAATCTTTTGAGTCAGTAAATTTAAGATACAAATTGATTGTAAAAAGTTAAGATCCAACTTAACTTGCCTAGTTCAACAGAAACGAGTGTATGAGTACATTTAATCAATTTAGCGGTGTTATCTACACTAATCTGAATATCAGTTATTAAAGGTTAAAGGTGAAATCTTAAATGTTCCTTTTCTCTAGGCTATTAAGTGACTGCGTAGAATAAAATCACACCCACACAAAAAATTAAAAAGGGGCATTTAAATCAACTGAAACAAAACATTAAGACGAATAAACTTTGTATTCCGGTAATTTTCGTCATTCCAGTATTGGTAGATTGAATGACTTAAATTATTTTTAATTGTTGGATGGGTGGATATACATTTATTAATCATTATTATTCTGAGGAAGATATTCAAATGTGGGCCTAAGATTTACAACTCACTAAATTTTCCAGATATAAAATCTCTGACAGAAACAAGGAAAAACGCGGTCACCAGATTAATTATCGATCGATGAAAACGTTTTTGTGTCCGGGTTTTCAAGATCATACTGCTATGAGATTTTCATGCAATAACCTTGAAGTTAGGAAATCAAAAAAAAAAAATCGTCTTTGTTAGCGCAACTTCTTTTAATGAAAACATGAACCGGATAATCATTCATCAGCCTGCCCACCAAAGGTAAATTAAATCCTGTGTATTCCATAAAGCTCAAAAGTTGAGCTGAACTGTCAAATGACCGCTTTATGCGGCAGCTATTAAATCGAAATTAATTAGAGAACCTCACATACTTTTTATTCTACACAAATAGAATACGGAAAAGGACTACTTCAAAACCAAACACTAAATTTACTCTCTTGAAACCCATTATTGGTTTGGGCGATTCTTCTTAAAATCCATGTCTTTAATTTTTTCAGACATTGCATAAAGAATTTGGAAGGTTTGCGGTCATTAAAATTACCATGTTTACTTTGGAGTGTGATATTCCCGATGTGATTTTTATTTTTAGTTTGAAGTTCCTGTTTATGTTTATGTACGTATTTCCTTATTGCGACACAGCTGTATTAGATGAAATCTGACTAGATGTCGACAAATAACCTATGCCGCGATGATCAATAATAAACCACAATATTTTTCATGTTTATATAAATCCCAAGAAAATGAGAAATGGGCACTTGTTTTGGAACAAGAATAGCAAGAGTAAACTGACCAGATGTAGCAAACAGCACCGTGTATAAGGGACCGCTTTCTGCAAAAGTCATTGAAATCCATCCGCCCATGCATTCAACTCCAAAATGCGTTTCATTGAAGACCTTTGGGCCTACATCCTATAGGCCTATAAAGCATCATTGTGCTCGTACTTAAGCTTTTCTCAGTGAACATCACCAACACAACTTCATTTAGTAGGCCCAATTTCTTGGAATTATTACACCGCACTGTCTGCTTATTTTATTACAAAAAGTATGCCAGTTGTCAACAAAACACTCTGTCTTATTGCTTAATAAAGCACTCACTGGTTTCCCGTCGCCTACATTAAATCCCCCTTGGGATTGCGCCGTACAATTCCAAGAAATCCAGGAGTTTGACCATGAATCACGTCGATCGTATTACCGTCCCAGCGACGTGTGCTCCGGGGCGGCTGTGGCCTTGATTACAACCAGGAGTAGATTGATTTCACGGGAAGTATGCTCCATTATACGGACGTGGCTGAAAATGAGTTTTGTCGGCCTGTAGAGTTTATATTCATAACTTTACCCTCTCGTCAGGGGTGATTTAACTGCAATCTTCCCTTAAAAGGATTTGCCGACGATTAGTCGTTTATTATTTATCATGTCTTAATTATGTTTGCGTTATTACTCAGTTGTTCAGTCTAGATAGCGTGTACTTTACGTGGCAAGTATTCTAATGTTATGACCGCGAGGTATACATGTATATGTTACACCTGCTACTCCTCGATTTGTTTGTTTGTTTTTAAAACCTTACTAGGCATTATTATCCTTCGCCGTCGATAAACATTGTATGATACAAAAATGCACCTTTCTTCGTCATTTTACATGACTTGCAATGCCGCCAACCGTTTCCGGGCTGATCTCTTTTCAAAAGTTCTGTATGGTGCAGTGGTGGTACTAAAGCGAACGCTGGCCCAATGGGAAAGTTTCCCTACATTATTTTAAGACTTAAGTGAGCTTTCGAGAGAAATAGAATCCCAAACACAACAAGAACCGGGTTTTAAAGTTTGCAGTATACTACGACTGAAATAGTTTTGTTTATATGTTAATGTTAAAGGTTGTAAAAATCGAAACCAGAATGTGATGCATATGACGATATTTCAACAAAGTATTCGCATACTATCTCCTTGTTTAGTTTTGGTTAATTGATCACATACCCTGAGCAATTCTCCAGTTGGCTGTGGCGAAAAGACCTTCCTCACGAGGCATGCAATTTTCGATGGTTTTTTGGAATCTGTTTTAGACATTGTTAATTTATAAATTATGACCATTTCTACTTAATGTTTCTATAGCTACTTAGAAAACTTTTTGGCTGTACAGTAATTCCTAGTTTGAATTATTCTTGTCATTCATTTATTATTTATTTCACGTCGACCATTTTTTTGGTTTTAGCTCCTAACTGTATCAGTTGGAGGGTTCCAAGGCTTGTCTTTTATTTGCCGTTTAACTTGGTATTTTCTATTTATTGCACAGTATTACTATTATTCGGATCGCCAAAATTTGTCTTCATGGTTTTAATAACGATTTCATTTTATTTTTTCTATTCGGATTTTTACATTCACAGTTATAAATTTTGTTTGGTCTGACACATCACTGATGAAAAGTTTGTTCAAACCTTTATCCAGATAAGGACAAGTGCTCTTGTTATTAGGTTAAAGAATGATGATGATACCGAAATAATTAAATGCTTTTCAGAATCTGAGGTATCAAAAATTTGAAATTATTCTTAGTGAGATACTAATTTATCATGGAATTTATTTTATTGCTTTCATTTTTACTCTGTAAAAAGCTCATGAATATTTACCCTCGCTTTCAATTCCAACATGGCCGACCCAAAATAAAGTCAGCAATTCTGCAGCATAACCGCCATTGTCCTTGGTGCTGATTGCCGCTTCATTTATTTATAGCATGCGTGCACGAAGGAAGTGTGCTCATTCGTGGACATGTACCATGAAATTTTATTAGTCGTAACGGTTACTCAAAGAAATCTTGGCAGGGGCTAAATATTGCATATTGTGTCAAGGATAGTGAAACCCATTATTTCATGTATAATATTTTAAGAGCAAGCTGCTATTATTATTCTACACGGTTGACATCGATTATTGAAGGCTTTAAGAAACTGATATTTGAGGCGTTAATATTTATAATAATTATCATATTTTACCCCATAAAAAAACGTTCTGGGCCATCTTGAAAAGCTTTAAAATTCAGTTTTGTAAGCACACAACTTAATCCGTTCCCCTTTTACCTGATTGATTTTCGACTCCGAATAATCCAGGTCGAACTAAACATTGAAGTTCGAACTAACCATTTGGACATATTTAGTCAAGGATCAAACTCCAAATATTCGAATAATTGGCACTGCTCCCCATAATAATTGGCACTATCCCCATAGTCGCTGACGCGACTATGGGGATAGCGTCGCTATCCTCAGTGAAATTGAAATAAATATCCCAATAGACCAGTCATTGAGTGCTTAGTACAGCCATTTGTTTA